CCGCTCCCCCCACAGACACACAGACACACACTCCCTCGCTGTGCCACCGCTCCCCCCACAGACACACAGACACCCACTCCCTCGCTGTGCCACCGCTCCCCCCACAGACACACAGACACACACTCCCTCGCTGTGCCACCGCTCCCCCCACAGACACACAGACACCCACTCCCCTCGCTGTGCCACCGCTCCCCCCACAGACACACAGACACCCACTCCCCTCGCTGTGCCACCGCTCCCCCCACAGACACACAGGACACCACACTCCCTCGCTGTGCCACCGCTCCCCCCACAGACACACAGACACACACTCCCTCGCTGTGCCACCGCTCCCCCCCACAGACACACAGACACACACTCCCCTCGCTGTGCCACCGCTCCCCCCACAGACACACAGACACACACTCCCTCGCTGTGCCACACGCTCCCCCCACAGACACACAGACACACACTCCCTCGCTGTGCCACCGCTCCCCCCACAGACACACAGACACCCACTCCTCGCGTGCCACCGCTCCCCCCACAGACACACAGACACACACTCCCTCGCTGTGCCACCGCTCCCCCCACAGACACACAGACACACACTCCCTCGCTGTGCCACCGCTCCCCCCACAGACACACAGACACACACTCCCTCGCTGTGCCACCGCTCCCCCCACAGACACACAGACACACACTCCCTCGCTGTGCCACCGCTCCCCCCACAGACACACAGACACACACTCCCTCGCTGTGCCACCGCTCCCCCCACAGACACACAGACACCCACTCCCTCGCTGTGCCACCGCTTCCCCAACAGACACACAGACACACACTCCCTCGCTGTGCCACCGCTCCCCCCACAGACACACAGACACACACTCCCTCGCTGTGCCACCGCTCCCCCCACAGACACACAGACACACACTCCCTCGCTGTGCCACCGCTCCCCCCACAGACACACAGACACACACTCCCTCGCTGTGCCACCGCTCCCCCCACAGACACACAGACACACACTCCCTCGCTGTGCCACCGCTCCCCCCACAGACACACAGACACCCACTCCCTCGCTGTGCCACCGCTTCCCCAACAGACACACAGACACACACTCCCTCGCTGTGCCACCGCTCCCCCCACAGACACACAGACACACCACTCCCTCGCTGTGCCACCGCTCCCCCCACAGACACACAGACACACACTCCCTCGCTGTGCCACCGCTCCCCCACAGACACACAGACAACACTCCCTCGCTGTGCCACCGCTCCCCCCACAGACACACAGACCACACACTCCCTCGCTGTGCCACCGCTCCCCCCACAGACACACAGACACACACTCCCTCGCTGTGCCACCGCTCCCCCCACAGACACACAGACACACACTCCCTCGCTGTGCCACCGCTCCCCCACAGACACACAGACACACACTCCCTCGCTGTGCCACCGCTCCCCCCACAGACACACAGACACACACTCCCTCGCTGTGCCACCGCTCCCCCCCACAGACACACAGACACACACTCCCTCGCTGTGCCACCGCTCCCCCCACAGACACACAGACACACACTCCCTCGCTGTGCCACCGCTCCCCCCACAGACACACAGACACACACTCCCTCGCTGTGCCACCGCTCCCCCACAGACCACAGACACACACTCCCTCGCTGTGCCACCGCTTCCCCAACAGGGACACACAGACACACACTCCCTCGCTGTGCCACCGCCCCCCACAGAACCACAGACACACACTCCCTCGCTGTGCCACCGCTCCCCCCACAGACACACAGACACACACTCCCCGCTGTGCCACCGCTCCCCCAACAGACACACAGGAACACACCACTCCCTCGCTGTGCCAACCGCTCCCCCCACAGACACACAGACACAACACTCCCTCGCTGTGCCACCGCTCCCCCCACAGACACACGGACACCAGACACACAGACACACACTCCCTCGCTGTGCGGTCTCAGCAGAACGCGACTCCGACCTCGGCCTGCTGCCAAGCGGCTCCGTGATGCGAGGGCACACCCCGACTCACACACCCCGACTCACACACCCCGACTCACACGCCCCGACTCACACGCCCCGACTCACACACCCCGACTCACACACCCCGACTCACACACCCCGACTCACACACCCCGACTCACACACCCCGACTCACACACCCCGACTCACACACCCCGACTCACACACCCCGACTCACACACCCCGACTCACACACCCCGACTCACACACCCCGACTCACACACCCCGACTCACACACCCCGACTCACACACCCCGACTCACACACCCCGACTCACACACCCCGACTCACACACCCCGACTCACACACCCCGACTCACACGCCCCGACTCACACGCCCCGACTCACACGCCCCGACTCACACGCCCCGACTCACACGCCCCGACTCACACGCCCCGACTCACACGCCCCGACTCACACGCCCCGACTCACACGCCCCGACTCACACGCCCCGACTCACACGCCCCGACTCACACGCACCCGACTCACACGCCCCGACTCACACGCCCCGACTCACACGCCCCGACTCACACGCCCCGACTCACACACCCCGACTCACACGCCCCGACTCACACGCCCCGACTCACACACCCCGACTCACACGCCCCGACTCACACGCCCCGACTCACACGCCCCGACTCACACGCCCCGACTCACACGCCCCGACTCACACGCCCCGACTCACACGCCCCGACTCACACGCCCCGACTCACACGCCCCGACTCACACGCCCCGACTCACACGCCCCCGACTCACACGCCCCGACTCACACGCCCCGACTCACACGCCCCCGACTCACACGCCCCGACTCACACGCCCCGACTCACACGCCCCGACTCACACGCCCCGACTCACACGCCCCGACTCACACGCCCCGACTCACCACGCCCCGACTCACACGCCCCGACTCACACGCCCCCGACTCACACGCCCCGACTCACACACCCCGACTCACACGACCCCGACTCACACGCCCCGACTCACACGCCCCGACTCACACGCCCCGACTCACACGCCCCGACTCACCCGCCCCGACTCACACGCCCCGACTCACACGCCCCGACTCACACGCCCCGACTCACACGCCCCCGACTCACACACCCCGACTCACCACACCCCGGACTCACAGCACCCCGACTCACACACCCGAACTCAACACCCCGACTCACACACCCCGACTCACCAACGCCCCGACTCACACACCCCGATCTCACACACCCGACTCACACAGCCACCGACTCACACACCCCGACTCACACGCCCCGACTCACACGCCCCGAACTCACACGCGACCTCACACACCCCGACTCACACGCCCCGACTCACACACCCGACTCACTACACGCCCCGACTCACACACCCCGAATCTCACACACGCCCCGACTCACAGCCACCCGACCTCACCACACCCCGCGACTCACACGACCCGGACTCAACACACCCCGACTCACACACCCCCGCACTCAACACCCCGACTCACACGCCCCGACTCACACACCCCGGACCTCCACACTCCCGACTCACCACCCCGACTCACACACCCCGACTCACACACCCCGACTCACACACCCCGACTCACACACCCCGACTCACACACCCCGACTCACACACCCAGACTCACACACCCCGACTCACACACCCCCGACTCACACACCCCGACTCACACACCCCGACTCACCACCCCGACTCACACACCCGACTCACACGACCCCGACTCACACACCCCGACTCACACACCCCGACTCACACACCCGGACTCACACGCCCCGACTCACACACCCCGACTCACACACCCCGACTCACACGCCCCGACTCACACACCCGACTCACACACCCCGACTCACACACCCCCGACTCACACGCCCCGACTCACACACCCCGACTCACACACCCCGACTCACACAGCCCCGACTCACACACCCCGACTCACACCCCCGACTCACTACCACCCCGACTCACACGCCCCGACTCACACACCCCGACTCACACACCCCGACTCACACCCCCGACTCACACGCCCCGACTCACACACCCCGACTCACACAGCCCCGACTCACACGCCCCGACTCACACAGCCCCGACTCACACCCCCGAATCACACGCCCCGACTCACACGCCCCGACTCACACACCCGACTCACACACCCGACTCACACGCCCCGACTCACACACCCCGACTCACACACCCCGACTCACACACCCCGACTCACACGCCCCGACTCACACACCCCGACTCACACACCCCGACTCACACACCCCGACTCACACGCCCCGACTCACACACCCCGACTCACACACCCCGACTCACACACCCCGACTCACACACCCCGACTCACACACCCCGACTCACACGCCCCGACTCACACACCCCGACTCACACACCCCGACTCACACACCCCGACTCACACACCCCGACTCACACGCCCCGACTCACACGCCCCGACTCACACGCCCCGACTCACACACCCCGACTCACACGCCCCGACTCACACACCCCGACTCACACGCCCCGACTCACACACCCCGACTCACACGCCCCGACTCACACGCCCCGACTCACACGCCCCGACTCACACACCCCGACTCACACGCCCCGACTCACACACCCCGACTGACACCCTGACTCACACTCCGACTCACACACAAACTCACACCCCACTGACACCCCTTCTCTCACACAATTTGCCAATTAATTAAAAAAATGCCACCTCCCCTTACTCCGTGTGCATTACAACCAGCAGCAGCAACAGCATCGCCCCCCTACAGGCAGACGACACCTGTCCGTCAAACACCGCGCCCCCCCTTCGTGACTGCACGACGCGGATACAAAACCACAGACTCAGTTCCCCGTCACGCTGGCACCACCTCCAGTGAAGACGGTTGACTAAGTTCGACATCCGTACACCATCACTCACCGCCACCGCTCGACTCAACCCAGCCGCGCTCCACCACCACCGCGCCCCCGCCACCTTGCCCACCACTCACCTGTAATATCGCGACTGCAGGTAGGTGGAGCACACGGCCTTGGAGACGTGGCTGGCCGAGCCAAAGTCGATGACCTTGACGCGGTAGGGCTGGCGCGCCGGGTCCACCAGCATGATGTTCTCCGGCTTGAGGTCGGCGTGGATGAGGCCCAGGCTCTCGAGCTTGGCGAGCGCCACGGCCACCTGCTGCAGGACGGGCCGCACGGCCCAGAGGCCCAGCGGGCGGAAGCGGCCGCGCTTGAGGAAGTCGTAGAGGGAGAGCGCCAGCAGCTCGAACACGAGGCACGTGTGGCCCCGGTGGGAGAAGCTCTCGAAGGCCCTCACCAGGTTGTGGTCGTCGCCGTCCCCCAGCTGCGCCAGGATGCCGGCCTCCACGCGGGCCTGCCGGGCGTACGACGCCGGCCGGCGCTTGAGCACCTTGACGGCGACCAGCCCGCCGCGGGCCCTGGCGCGGCACCGGGCCACCTGGCCGAAGGTGCCGCGGCCCAGGAAGCCGAGGACCTCGTAGCAATCGCCGGGCGAGCGGAGGACTTCGTGCGGCACCAGCTTGTAGTCCCCGCCGCCCCCGCCGGCGGTCGCGGCGGTGACGCGGCCGCCGCCGCCGCCGTCGTTAGCGGTCGTGCCGACGCCGCCGACGCCGCCGCCGGTGATCATCGCCGAATCCACGGCGCCGTCGTCGTCGCCGTCACCGTCGTCGTCTTCCAGAGGCAGGTGGTCGGGGCAGCAGAAGGTGTGGGGGGGCACGGCGGTGGGGGGGGGCGCACCCCCCCCTCCGCCGACGCCGCACCGCCCCTCGCCGTGCGCCGCCGCCGCCGTCGCCGGAGGGAGAAGCGGAGGTCCCCGTGCGGAGATGGAGCAGTTTGGCCGGGCGGCTGCGTGGGAGGAGGGCGCATCTCCCTCTAGGTGGATAGCCATGCCTGTGGGGGGCGGAGAGACACGACGGACGAGGGGTAAAGGCGCAGTCCCGCAACTGCTCACCCACGCCGCCCGCCGCTGGCAGATGCTCCTCCACCTCTGGGAGCCCCACGGAGCCCCCTCTGGGGGAGTAGTTGCCCACTCTTCCAGCCTGGTCAATTATGGGAAAAGGTCAGGGGGTCCCCACTCTTTACCCCCCCCCTCCCCGCCCCGTCACACGCGACCCACCGTGGTGGAGGACACCTACGCTGCTGCGTGGACAGAGGAGGTGCTGGGAGGAAGGTGACCTCTGCATTGTAAGTGTACTGGCCGCTAATGATATATGGTGACCTATGTAAGTCTACGTCTCTCTGTCGAAGTCAACCTTCACTCGGTAGGAGTTTGATCTGCGAGCCTCGGTGGTGATGATTCTTATTCAGATTAGTTACCCAGGAAAGCCTCTCCGAGTTTCGAGACTCTTTATGAGGAGGGTCCTGCCATGCTTTTCGTGGTCGGGAGGAGGTGTTGCTGCTACTGCTGCTGTTGTGTAATCTGCAGGGGATGTCTCAGCATTGGGGGTTGTTTTGGCCAATGCCCATTACATTCTATGGGGTTTTTTTTGGTATGGGAGGAAACTGGAGAACCCGGAGGAAACCCAATCCAGAACTGGGGGAGAGAACACAAACTCAGAAAGATGCCAGAGTCGGGAATATAACCTGGGGGCGTCTTACTGGGAGGCAGGAGTGTTACGACTGCGTCACTCTGCAGCCCTACGCGAGCCTCACTGATTGAAACTAAACCCTATGGGAGACGTAGTATGGCTCTGTGAGCCTCGGTGATGAACACTGAACCCTACAGGAGCCCGAGTCTGGCTCTGTGAGCCTCAGTGATGAACACTGAACCTTACAGGAGCCCGAGTCTGGCTCTGTGAGCCTCAGTGATTAACTCTGAACCCTACAGGAGCCCGAGTCTGGCTCTGTGAGCCTCAGTGATGAACTCTGAACCCTACAGGAGCCCGAGTCTGGCTCTGTAAGCCTCAGTGATGAACACTGAACCCTACGGGAGCCCGAGTCTGGCTCTGTGAGCCTCAGTGATGAACTCTGAACCCTACAGGAGCCCGAGTCTGGCTCTGTGAGCCTCAGTGATGAACACTGAACCCTACGGGAGACATAGCATGCCTCTGTGTATACTACAGCAGAACACATCATTCCAGAGAGAACAGAATAGTTCATGACACAGGGTACATGGCACACTTGGTATACTCAATAGAGTCCACATCACAGTACACGGTAGAGTGTAATACACAGCACTGCAGAGTACACACACAGCAGTACAGTGAACACGATAGATGAGAGTACACGATGTAATAGTACACGGAATAGCACACGAGAGAGTACTAAAGAGTCAAATGCACACTTGAGTACTCAACGCAGCAGAGTGCATGATATAAAACACGTGACAGCCGAGTAGAGAATACAGCAGGCTGCAGAGCCGAGTACTCATCAGCGGAGAGAAGAGTCCACGATGCGATCGAGCGAGAGAGCAGCATGCACGCCGTACCTCCACACGGGACCTCTCGCCTCCCCGCCGCCCTGGACCCCTCTGAGCCCCTATCCCTCTCACAGAGGGAGTCCCGATATAGACCCCCCCCCCCGCCAGAGACACGACCCCCGTTCGGGGTCCCTGGCCGGGCAGGGGAGGGGTACTGGGGGATGGGCAACTTCCCTACTGAGTTACAAACCCCAGGTTCCTCTCCTGGGCGACTCTTCCTCCTCCCGTCGTCCCCGTCACGCTCCGCTCGCTCGCTCGCTCACGACCCCTCTGCACTCTGGTACTTCCTTCACCTAAGCTCGACTCCCGACCTTCTTCGGCGGCAGCGGCGGCGGTGGAGGAGGGTGAGAGGTTGAGTGGTCGGGATCGAGGGAAGGAAGAGCGGTGAGGAAGAAGGCGAGGAACGCTGGGGTGGTGGGGGGCTGAGGGTTGAGTTGTAAATGGTGATGCTGTGCTGTGCTCTGGTTGGGTGATGTGGTTCGGTGGGGGGGCTGGGGGAGGTGGGGGGGAGGGTTGTGTGGCTTTGACAGGTGCAGATTTTCCTCCGCTGACGACCACGAGTCAAACCTCCCCCCCTCCTCTCCCCCCCAATCCAACTCTCGTCTCCCTCCACATGCCATCAGTAGCAGCTGCCCCCCTCCCCTCCATCTCGCACCCCCTCCCCTCCATCTCGCACCCCCTCCCCTCCATCCCCAATCCCTCCCCTCCACCCCCCACCACTTCCCTCCACCCCCACCCCTCCGCTCCATCTCGCACCCCCTCCACCCCCCACTCCCCCCCAACATCCCCCAATCCATCCACCCACTCCCTCCCCCACCTCCATCTCCCTCGCCAAGAGTTCTCAACCCCCCTAAACAAGACAACGATCCCCCGTGTAGCCTTCACAGGCTGTTGGGGCAAGTACTGCTCGCGGGCACCACCGATGAAGGCGGTCACGTGGGGTGATGTGGCCAGCACCACGTCTGTGTGTCTGTGTCTGTGTGTCTGTGTGTGTGTATCCAGTGTCTGTGTGTCTGTGTGTGTGTCTTTGTGTATGTGTGTGTCTCTGTTTGTGTATCAAGTGTCTGTGTCTCTGTGTGTGTGTCTTTGTGTCTGTGTGCGACTCTGTGTCTGCGTGTGTCTGTCTAGTGTGTGTGCTGTGTATGTTGTGGATGTGTGTTGTGTATTCGTGGTGTGTACGTGTGTTGTGCATGTGTTATGTACGCTGTGTGTCCTCCGAGTCTCCGCCTTGAGTTCTGTTTAAACAGGCGAGGCCTGCTCAGGGTGCAGTGCCTATTTATAGCCTCGGAGTGCGAGAGAGAGTCTTTGTGGGTGTGTGAGAGTGTGTGTGTGTGTTTAGTGAGTGACTTCATATGTGCTGTTCCGCTCACAGCACTTGCTCCAAAAGTCCGTTCAAGGCTATACGGGGCACCTTTGTGTGTGCGTGTGTCGGTGGCACATCTGCCAATCCTCTTGGCTAAGCCATCACAGCGAGCCTCGACATTTACAGTCATCGCACTCAAAGTGCACCTAGCCTGGCACGAGCTCTGGCCGTGGTGACATCACCATCAATGATTGTAGTGGCGGCTGTTGTTGTTTGTGTGGAATGTTTGTGTGCGTTACTCTTTCCACTCGCGCAAGAAACCCCACCCCCCACGTCACCCCCTCCCCTATCCCCTAAGGCCCCCTATCCCCTCCCCCATCCCCTTCCCCCCGCCCCCTATCCCTTCCCCTATCCCCTTCCCTCCCACCCGCCCCCTTTCTGGCCGACCCCCTCGCTCTGTCGGGGAGATAAGGCGCGTGCTGTCGCAAGTCTCGCGGTGGCGTAACGCGGTGACCCCGGGGGGGGGGTCCTGCGATCCGGGGACTCGAGGGGGTCGTGGCATCGGGTACCTTGGCTCAGGGGTATCTAGGGGATAGAGGCCGCAGGGTCAGGTGTACCTGTGGTAAGGGGTACTTGCAGATACTGTGTAAGTGCACAATGGTGTATGTGGTGTTATAGTGTTACATTACCGTGGTGTTTTCATACGTAAGTATGTACGTACGTGCGCACCGGGACACAATCCCCTTCTTTGCATGCAACATGTGACACTATAGTGTTACACAATTGTTTATATCCATCCACACATGTGCTTCACAACAGTGTTACAGTGTTGTGTACATCCAGACACAATCGTGTTGCTTGTATACACAATCGTGTTGTTCCACCATCGTGGTACTTGCATGCGCCCCTGTGCACGTGCACACTCCACATTGTGTTGCCGGGAACACAATGCCAGCCCGTGCACAATAGCAGCAGGGAGCACAATGCACCGCCTGTGTTGACGTTACGACACTGCGCCCATTACATAACTCCCCGCGTCTCCTAGCGACCCCTGCAGAGGCCAGCCGAGGTCAGGTGAGTGAGTAGGGTGAGTGACGGGGGCAGGGAGCAGGTAAACCACCAGGTGAGGACTCACCCGGGAGCTCACGTGAGCGACCAGGTGGACGAAGAGGTGAGTGGGTGAGTGACTAGACGAGTGGCCAGGTCAGGGTTCGTGAGTGGATAGGTGGTGTGGGAATATGCGAGTGGGCAGGTGAGTGGCCAGATGAGAGTTGAGGTGAGGGTTCAAGTGAGTGGGCACGTGAGTAATCGGGTGAGTGGATAGGTGAGTAATCGGATGAGTGGATAGGTGAGGAGCAGGCGAGTGAGTGGATGGGTGACTGACCGAGTTGAAGGATTGGGCTGCCAGACAGTGGAAAGTAAAGTGATGGATTATAGAATCCATCTGTGCGGAGCTTCGAGTGTCTCCCCCTCGTATACAGCAGTGCGGCGCTGCGTTGTCTCGGAGTTCTCCGGTTTCCTCCCCACACGAGGCCACGAGACTCACTGCTCGCGGAGTTCAGTGTGGGTAATCCCACCTCTTCTGAGACGTCTGGCCAGCGTAGAAGAGTAGGCCAAAGCACTGCTCTCGCGGGGCTCTCGAGAGCTCCCTCTCATGTGGAGTGAGGGCTCTTTTTCATCAGCAGGGGGGTGAGTGGGCACTTGCAGGCCTGCGTCTTTGCCTCCGTTACATTGCCCCTGTACGGCACTCCACAGTGTTGCCTGATCTGCCATGCAGAGCCGTCCCGAGGGTACGCCCCGGGCCCCGCGCTTTGGGGGGTTGGGGGGCGGGCAATGCGCTTCGCCGTCACGGTGTGAGATGTAAAATACTTGGGGGTTTAGTCTGAAGCCCACACAATGCGGTTCGCCCCGGGCCCCGCGCCCCCACCCCCCCTGTACGGACGGCCTCACTGCCATGGACCACCCCTTCCTCCGTCCCTCCCTCGGGGCGCGGGGACTGTATACTCTGGTGCCCCGGGGGCATCAACATCTGTCTACTCTGGTGCCCCGGGGGCATAAACATCTGTCTACTCTGGTGCCCCGGGGGCATAAACATCTGTCTACTCTGGTGCCCCGGGGGCATAAACATCTCCGTCTACTCTGGTGCCCCGGGGGCATCAACATCTCCGTCTACTCTGGTGCCCCGGGGGCATCAACATCTCCGTCTACTCTGGTGCCCCGGGGGCATAAACATCTCCGTCTACTCTGGTGCCCCGGGGGCATAAACAACTCCGTCTACTCTGGTGCCCGGGGGCATAAACAACTCCGTCTACTCTGGTGCCCCGGGGGCATAAACAACTCCGTCTACTCTGGTGCCCGGGGGCATCAACATCTGTCTACTCTGGTGCCCCGGGGGCATAAACAACTCCGTCTACTCTGGTGCCCCGGGGGCATCAACATCTGTCTACTCTGGTGCCCCGGGGGCATAAACATCTGTCTACTCTGGTGCCCCGGGGGCATAAACATCTCCGTCTACTCTGGTGCCCCGGGGGCATAAACAACTCCGTCTACTCTGGTGCCCCGGGGGCATCAACATCTCCGTCTACTCTGGTGCCCCGGGGGCATCAACATCTCCGTCTACTCTGGTGCCCCGGGGGCATCAACATCTCCGTCTACTCTGGTGCCCCGGGGGCATCAACAACTCCGTCTACTCTGGTGCCCCGGGGGCATCAACATCTCCGTCTACTCTGGTGCCCCGGGGGCATCAACATCTCCGTCTACTCTGGTGCCCCGGGGGCATCAACATCTCCGTCTACTCTGGTGCCCCGGGGGCATCAACAACTCCGTCTACTCTGGTGCCCCGGGGGCATCAACATCTCCGTCTACTCTGGTGCCCCGGGGGCATCAACATCTCCGTCTACTCTGGTGCCCCGGGGGCATCAACATCTCCGTCTACTCTGGTGCCCCAGGGGCATCAACAACTCCGTCTACTCTGGTGCCCTGGGGGCATCAACATCTCTGTCTACTCTGGTGCCCCGGGGGCATCAACATCTCTGTCTACTCTGGTGCCCCGGGGGCATAAACATCTGTCCGTGGGGGGTCCTGCCCAAATCCCACTCGCCAGTACAACACAACATGAATCATTCACGCGATTCGGATGATATGAAGGCTCACTGCCCGAAACGTCGCCTATTAGTTACCGTTTAGAGACAATGCGGATGATCGTGCCCCCAACGTCTTCTTTGATCCTCGTGCGCCTCCCCCCACCTCCTCCCCCCCTCTCGCTGTCTCTCAGCGTCGTTCCCAGCACGCGGCTCTCAACGTTTCTTTGCGCACTTCGGAAAAAAATTTCACGACAAAAATGCGGGCGGCGTTTCCTGTTCGTGCGTACACGCGCGTGTGTGTGTACACGTGTGTGTGTGTACACGTGTGTGTGTGTACACGTGTGTGTGGGGAGTGGTAGTGTAGCGGTTAGTGCGCTGCGCTTCGAACCTGGCGACCCCGGTTCTAATCCCGCTCACGGCCAACACCAGTGACGATTATCTTAACCGGTCCTGGGCCTCCCCTAGGTCGACTCGGCCTCAATTAGGTACACAGTGTGGTGTGTAGTAAACATCACCACTGGGGAGACAAAGTCGGCCGGGCGTGGTGTTGGCCACCCCCATGCCGGCCTTTATAGGTGCTTGCTAACAGCACTTGCCCCAAAAATCTGTTGAAGGCTATACGGGGGATCTTTGTCTTTCATGAACATGTCTCCCCTCCAGCCCAGAGACCACCTGGGACTTGTTTACGATGTCAGGAGTTTTAATGTTTATGGCCCCACGGGGTAAAGTGTGAAGTCCACCTACATGCCAGCTCTGAAAAAGGGACATTGCCCGAAACGTCAGCCGTAGTTTTTTTCATCGGATTATTGGAATATAGGGTGGAATAATGATTAATTGTGAATTGGGTTATGTTGTACTCTCGTTGTAGTGCCTTACGCCGATAACCCCTGACTCCAAACCCGACTAGCAGCGCCCCGGACCATGTGGCGTGACAAGTGAAGGGCTGGGGGGTAGAGGCAGCGAGTGAGTGGTGACGGTGCCGTGAGTCGTGGCGATAGCGCGCGGAGCGAGCACTATCGCTCGTACCCTCACCCCCCAGCTCACCCATCACCCCCCAGCTCACCCATCACCCCCCAGCTCACCCATCACCCCAACACCCCAAACCTCACCCATCACCCCCCAGCTCACCCATCACCCCAACACCCCAAACCTCACCCATCACCCCAACCCTCACCCATCACCCCCCAGCTCACCCATCACCCCAACACCCCAAACCTCGCCCATCATCGCCCCCCAGCTCACCCATCACCCCAACACCCCAAACCTCACCCATCACCCCCCAGCTCACCCATCACCCCAACACCCCAAACCTCACCCATCACCCCCCAGCTCACCCATCACCCCAACACCCCAAACCTCACCCATCACCCCCCAGCTCACCCATCACCCCAACACCCCAAACCTCACCCATCACCCCCCAGCTCACCCATCACCCCAACACCCCAAACCTCACCCATCACCCCAACCCTCACCCATCACCCCCCAGCTCACCCATCACCCCAACACCCCAAACCTCACCCATACTCTCCAGCTCACCCACCACCCCAACACCCCAAACCTCACCCATCACCCCCTAGCTCACCCATCACCCCTCCTCGCCCTCCAGCCTCGCCCAGCCACCACGCGCAGCGCTTGGGCCTAGACGCGGAGGTCGTAGGGGAAAGTGCTGCGCGTGGCGGGGAAACACGTGGGGACACGTGGGGACAGAGACACGCAGAGACACGTGTGGACAGAGACACGCAGAGACACGTGAGGACAGAGACACGCAGAGACACGTGAGGACAGAGAGACACGCAGGGACACGTGGGGACATATACACGCAGAGACACGTGGGGACAGAGACACGCAGAGACACGTGGGGACAGAGACACGCAGAGACACGTGAGGACAGAGAGACACGCAGGGACACGTGGGGACATATACACGCAGATACACGTGGGGACAGAGACACGCAGAGACACGTGGGGACAGAGACACGCAGAGACACGTGTAGACAGAGACACGCAGAAACACGTGAGGACAGAGAGACACGCAGAGACACGTGGGGACATAGACACGCAGAGACACGTGGGGACAGAGACACGCAGAGACACGTGGGGACAGAGACACGCAGAGACACGTGGGGACACGTGGGGACAGACACGCAGAGACACGTGGGGACAGAGACACGCAGAGACACGCGGGGACACGTGGGGACAGAGACACGCAGAGACACGTGGGGACACGTGGGGACAGAGACACGTGGAGACACGTGGGGACAGAGACACGTGGGGACAGAGGGCCACGTGCGACACGCGGTGACACGTGGGGACAGAGAGACAGGCGGAGACAGGGAGACTCCGTTGAACAGAGACAGCGAGACACACATCCACACATACAAGAATGAGACAGAAACCGGGAGCTAGGCGATAATGGGACAGGCAGACACACAGACATTGGGCCGTGAGATACTGGAGAGACGGGGACACACACACGTGAGACACAGCGAGACGTGGAGACAGAGACAGGCGAGGTGGGAGACACGGACACAGCGTGCCCCCCCCCCCCCCCCCAGTGCAACACCACGTGGAGCAGTCACAAAGGGGAAACTGGACAGGGTGGTGATGATGATGGAGGTCTAGGGTCAGGGTGGGGAGATGATGATGATGCTGCTGCCTAGTTAGGTTCGGCGATGGTGATGTTACTGTTGGTGATCGATGTCATGATGATGATGCTGCTGCTGTTGATGATGATGATGGACGGGATAGTGTTGAGTTTCGGTAATAACGATGCAGCATTAGGTTTGGGTGATGTTGGATTATGGTTAAGTTATGGTGGAGGTGGTGGTTATGGTGTGGATGGTGCGGATAATTAGCCCATATATGGTATGTGATGATGGTGGTGGAGAGTATGTGAGACTCGCCCTCGCATGCACAGAGACAAGACACAGGGCTACAGAGACGCGTGAAGACACACAGCCATGGCGAGACAGAGAGAGAGAGACAGAGTTGTCATAAACTTCAGCAGTCGCGACTCGCCATCCTCCTCCTCCTACCGATCTCATGTATGGGCGCCATCGTGGAGTCGCGGCGACATCCCCGCTCCCCTCGGTCCTCTCCGCCTCCTCCTCGTGCCTCCTCCTCCTCCCCGGCGGCGGCGGACGACTTCACCTGCACATCGGCCCGCGCGTCCGGGACGACGCGGACGACGCCATCTGCGCGTCCTCCTGCACCGCGCACGGACAGCACGGGGCCACGGCGGAGACGAACCCGCAGCAATAATCCACTCGCGATGATTCCTCCTCTTCCTCTGCTGCTGCTGTCTTCAACCTCCTTGCCCCCCCTCTTTTCTCGCAAGAGCGTTCGAAGTCTCTTCCGCGGGTTGTCGAAGGAACGAATCGCCCCGTGCTCTCAGTGCGTCGAACAAACACCAATGGCCATCGCCGTCACAGGAAGAAGGCGAGCCGAGAGACATCAAACGGTGACAAACATGGAGAAGGGAGATTTTCTAAACGAGATTTGTAACTCGAGTGGCCTCGCTGAGTGGTGGCGACGGCCGACGACGTCGCTGCTGCTGCTGTTGTTGTTGTTGTGGTGGTTGTTGTGGTTGTGGTGGTGGTTGAGAGGGGCCCCCTGTCAGCTGCTCTAAAGGGGTCCTCACTCCGGCTGGGGTCTCGGGGTCCGCGCGGGGTCAGCCCCGGGGGTCCGCGCAGTCTGGCGGCACGGGCCTGCGTCGTTGGGCGCTGGGCCGCGTCAACTCAACATGTCGCCTGTCGGCCCGCGTGCCTCTCGCCTGCTGCCGCTGCTGATGATGATGCCGCTGATGCTGCTCCCGCTGCTGCTGCTGCCGCCCGTGCGTGGGGAGGGTGCGGGGAGGAGGAGGGGCGAGGGCGCCGTGCGCGAGTGCGTGAGTTCCTGCGGCGTGACGCCACGCTGCGTGTGTGTGGGGAGCACGGGGCGGCGTGCGTGCGTGTGTGTGCAGTGTGTGTGGATGAGAGAGTGTGTGTGTGTGGATGAGAGAGGGTGTGTGTGTGTGCACGAGAGTGTGTGTGTGTGTGAATGAGAGGGTGTGTGTGTGTGTGTGGATGAGAGGGTGTGTGTGTGTGTGTGTGGAGGAGAGAGTGTGTGGATGAGATTGTGTGTGTGTCGATGAGAGAGTGTGTGTGTGGATGAGAGGGTATGTGTGTGTGTGGATGAGAGAGGGTGTGTGTGTGGATGAGAGAGTGTGTGTGTGTGTGGATGAGAGAGTGTGTGTGTGGATGAGAGAGGGTCTGTGTGTGTGTGCATGAGAGAGTGTGTGTGTGTGGATGAGAGGGTGTGTGTGTGTTGATGAGAGAGTGTGTGTGTGTGGATGAGAGAGTGTGTGTGTGTGGATGAGAGAGGGTGTGTGTGTGGATGAGAGAGTGTGTGTGTGTGTGGATGAGAGAGTGTGTGTGTGTGGATGAGAGGGTGTGTGTGTGTTGATGAGAGAGTGTGTGTGTGTGGATGAGAGAGTGTGTGTGGATGAGAGAGTGTGTGTGTGTGGATGAGAGGGTGTGTGTGTGTTGATGAGAGGGTGTGTGTGTGGATGAGAGGGTATGTGTGTGTGTGGATGAGAGAGGGTGTGTGTGTGGATGAGAGAGAGTGTGTGTGTGTAGATGAGAGAGTGTGTGTGTGTAGATGAGAGAGTGTGTGTGTGTGGATGAGAGAGTGTGTGTGTGTGGATGAGAGGGTATGTGTGTGTGTGTATGAGAGAGGGTGTGTGTGTGTGGATGAGAGAGGGTGTGTGTGGATGAGAGAGGGTGTGTGTGTGTGGATGAGAGAGTGTGTGTGTGTGGATGAGAGGGTGTGTGGATGAGAGGGTGTGTGTGGATGAGAGAGGGTGTGTGTGTGTGGATGAGAGAGGGTGTGTGTGTGGATGAGAGAGGGTGTGTGTGTGAATGAGAGAGGGTGTGTGTGTGGATGAGAAAGTGTGTGTGTGTGGATGAGAGAGTATGTGTAGATGAGAGAGAGTGTGTGTGTGTGGATGAGAGGGTGTGTGTGTGTGGATGAGAGAGTGTGTGTGTGTGGATGAGAGAGTGTGTGTAGATGAGAGAGAGTGTGTGTGTGTGGATGAGAGAGTATGTGTGTGTGGATGAGAGAGGGTGTGTAGATGAGAGAGTGTGTGTGTGTGGATGAGAGGGTGTGTGTGTGTGGATGAGAGAGTGTGTGTGTGTGGATGAGAGAGTGTGTGTGTGTAGATGAGAGAGTGTGTGTGTGTGGATGAGAGAGGGTGTGTGGATGAGAGAGTGTGTGTGTGTGGATGAGAGAGGGTGTGTGTGTGTGGATGAGAGAGGGTGTGTGTGTGGATGAGAGAGTGTGTGTGTGGATGAGAAAGGGTGTGTGTGTGGATGAGAGAGGGTGTGTGTGTGGATGAGAGAGGGTGTGTGTGTGGATGAGAAAGTGTGTGTGTGTGGATGAGAGAGTGTGTGTGTGTGTGTGTGGATGAGAGAGGGTGTGTGTGTGGATGAGAGAGGGTGTGTGTGTGGATGAGAAAGGGTGTGTGTGTGGATGAGAGAGGGTGTGTGTGTGGATGAGAAAGTGTGTGTGTGTGGATGAGAGAGTGTGTGTGTGTGTGGATGAGAGAGGGTGTGTGTGTGGATGAGAGAGGGTGTGTGTGTGGATGAGAGAGGGTGTGTGTGTGGATGAGAGAGTGTGTGTGTGTGTGGATGAGAGAGGGTGTGTGTGTGGATGAGAGAGGGTGTGTGTGTGGATGAGAGAGGGTGTGTGTGTGTGTGGATGAGAGAGGGTGTTGGCTGTAATAGGTGCTGCTCGCTAACAGCACTTTCCCAACATTCCGTTGAGGCTATCAGGGGGATCTGTGTCTTTGTGTAGTGTCAACGACAGAGTTTCTAGGAGGCACTTTCTTTATTAACAACTGTCACGGTCTAGTCCACACACTCTCCACAGCAGCTCAGTCTGTACACAACACGGCGCTGACTGAGATAGCCGACTACTCTCCTTCGTAGCGCAACGTCCAGCGGAGACGTTCAGCGACGACGGCGACGAGACGACAGCGACGACGGCGACGAGACGAGTCCACTCCCAGCACCGGCAGCCCCGAGCTCCCCGCTCTCAGCTCCTTTTATGCTCCCGGCGCGGCCCGGCTCCGCCCTGACCACGCCTCCTTCTGGAACCCGCCGGCAGGTTCCAGGGGCCTCCAGACGGGGTCCTCCGTGACCCTTGCCCCAGTTCCTCCGCCTGCCCACACGCCGTGCTCACGCCCTCCCCGGCGTGTGTGCTGCTGTCCACCAGGCGGCGCTATTGCACTGCAGGTGCGCTCGGGGAGCAGTGTGGTTGGCATGGGCCCTGACGTCGGGGATGCAATGGGGGGCCCTGCGCCGGCGCAGTTGCACCGCCTGCACCGCCGGGATGCATGGCATGGGGGACGTCGCCACTCTCACCCCCCCCCACCCTCCCCCCAGTTCTCCCTCCCTCGCCCCTCCACCGTTCCAACCCCCTCCAACCCACAGCGATTACCTCCACGAATCGATTATATTTGTATAGATTATATTTGTATGGATTATTCTGTTTCTCACTGTTCAAATAAATCTGCCATTAAAATTATAGACTGATCATTTCTTTGTCAGTGGGCAAACGTACAAAATCAGCAAGGGATAAAATACTTTTTTCCCTCACTGTAACTAAAATAATCCTTGCCTATAATAAACACCTGGCAGCTCCCCGGTTGATGTGAACCGAACTGCTGATGAGACGCGAAATGACGAACCCGGTCCAGAGTGTTGCTTGTATTGCTGCTGGGAAAAATACATAAATAGAATAAAATAAATTATTGTTGCTTGTTTTGCTCCTGAAATGATGCACTTCCAGTAGATCCGCGTGGCCAATGAGATGTGTAGAAAACATCGTGTCGATTTTTAATCTAAACGATGCTTTAAATCGGTTCGCGTGGAAGAAAATGTTGTAAACTCCCCTTGGCACACGAAGGGCTCACAAGTGTTGCCATCACATCTACGCCTCTATTTAAGGAAGGAAACAGGAGGAGGATTTCTCCACAAATCTGGCTGCCGCCTGATGAAGCTGGTTGTAATTACTGCCGAAACGTCGTACTCAGATTGTAAATGTTGTGGCTTGGCTCTCCAACACGCCGGTGTGCTGTACTGGTATACTACACTATACACTACACCATACACTACACCACTATACACTACACTATGCACTACACTACGCACTAGTGCTGTACTCGTGACGAATTGCCACGTTCTGTTGACGTGACAACCCTTACTAGTTGGCTGTGTCGGGTGGTGGCGGTTTCAATGACACATTTATATATTTACGCGATCAATACAAAAAAACCCTGTACTATGGATGATATTGGTCGCGAAAGCCTTACAACGTGGTAAACTTCTTCCAATGTGGACTCGAGGCGACTATCACCCACAAGTATATACAATAATCGATTCTAAAATGTAATCGATCCTGAGTATCAAAGAGCAGGATCGAATTGTCACACCCCTTGCAGCTTCCTGCACCAACATGAGTTCCCTCCGGCAGTGGCGGCAACAGGCGCGGCTGTCGCGACCTCTCGTGGCTGCCGGGGGGGGGGGCGGGCGAGAGGATCTCCACTGTGCAGAGGGCAGTGGGAGACCACCACCACCACCACCTCGCAGATTAAACAACAACACACACACACACGCTCCATATACGATTGGTCTTCTTACAGCAGTGGACAGACTGTGATGACGATGATGATGACAGCATGGAGAGACAGTTTAACACGTAATAGGACTCCGCGATCAATCTTAGCCGTAATAAAGGGTTTTTGTTTGGGTTAGATCGCCAATTAGTAAGGCTTGTCGCGTAAACAAAACGTGGCAATTAGTTGCTACTAACCCTGACTATCGAGTTTTTTTTATTTGTTTTCTATCTACGTGACTTTACCGAAAGAACTAAACAATATAACCCTATTATAATAGGGTTTTCCACTTTTTTGTGGCAACAAAACAGGTGTTGAGATCTTCTTGGTTCTTTCGGTAAAGTCACGTAGAAGGGAAGTAATAAAATAATAAAAATAAAACATAATAAAACAATTCTCACGACGTTTCGGCCACAACGCAATTTAGGTGTTGAGATGTTAAAACACCAAACTGAAACCTTTTACAAGGAATCATGTCTGCATTAACCACAATACTTGTGGTCAGAATGCAAACAAAAAACACTGATAATATATGCACTGACTTTGAAACTGATTGGTCCACACCAGAGACAGCTTTCTTTTGAGCCTCGTCTCAAACGGTGTTAGACCAGAACGCCAAAAGGCGTACAGCCCAAAGACAATGCACTATCAGAGTAATCAGGACAATGCATATATTATTAGAGAATGTGTTTTGTTTGCATTCTGACCACAAGCATTGTGGTTAATGCAGACATGATTCCTTGTAAAAGGTTTTAGTTTGGTGTTTAAACATCTTATCACCTGTTTTGTTGCCAGAAAAAAGGGGAAAACCCCAATTATCATATTTTGGTACTGGCAAAGGAGGTCCCATGAAATATAACCCTGACTACTTCATCAACCCTGATTCATTGGCTGTGTCGGGTGGTGGCGGGTTTAATGACACATTCATATTGACGCGATCGAACCCCAAAACAACTTTACTTTGAATTCAGAGACAGTGAGAGGATCACGTGGATCAGAGACCACTCGCGGGATCGAGGCAATCGCCCACGCTGTTCGGAGGAGGTGAGTGGGGATCAGGCAGGAGGCGTCTCGGTCAGGAGGCTTCGAAGATGGCCCAAGGTCGAGATGAATAACGGAGCGGCAGCCGAGGAATGGAACGCGTCCGAGAGGACCTCCATCGTGGACATGGAGTGCTCAAATCAGCTCGCATGTAAAGCAGACGGCGGGCGGATCGATATATCTCAGGGGGTCGTGAGAGGTGGCTACGGCTCGGGGAGGACGCCTTCATCCAGCAGCGGATTGACCATGGCTGATGATGACGGTGGTGGTGGTGGTGGCGTAGGAACGTCTCCATGGTCCGCACGCCGCCTAGTGGCTGGCCCGAGTGAAGGACCACGAGGCAGCATGTCCCAGATGTTGGAGCTGATAAACCCAAACATCACTCACCACGCGGCCCTTCGTCCGAGCAGCAGAGGACTGAGCGAGAGGGGGGGGGCTGTAAGGTTCAGAATCGTGTGGCTGTGAGCGCCGCCAGCAATGAGTGACCACGTGCCTTGTCGGCGCGCCGGAGGTGGGGTCAGGCTCAGGTATCGAGCTCCTACTCGTTGCTGGTAGGGGGGGGGGCAGCGTTCTTCACTCATTTTTAGAGGGGGCCACTTCCGCGGATAAGACGTAGTCAGTGCAAGGCCCCCCACACATTTGAAACCATTGTGGGTTTGACAGCGGCACGACGATGATGGTGGGAGTGCTGTCACTGTGTGTGTGTTGTCACTCTGTGAGTGTTGTCACTCTGTGAGTGTTGTCGGTGGTCGCACATCAGGGGCCGCACTGGAGGCCACCAGGGGCCGCCAGTGGTCCCCCGCGGGCCTTGCAGTGAAGGGCACTCGGTGAGGTGTCGAGCTGACCAGGCCAACTGGTTCGGAGTAGTCGGGTTAGTAGCAGTGGGTGGGTATGGGTCGAGTTCGTGCCAGTTAGTGCCACTGTCTGGTTAGTGGGGGTCCCGGATAGATGTGGGAATGCACCGGGGGGGGGGGGCAGGAGAGCAAAGAGGCACAGACGTTGGTTTGGGGGTGGGGGCTGTGGGGGGTACAGGGGTGGGTGGTGGGTGGCTAGTGGATGACTTCGTGAATTCTCTCCGCGTCACGGCACAGGCCGCCACTGCCCCCGCGCTTATTATAGCGGCGACGAATGTCCTCCTCAGCCTTGGTTTAGCGACATGGGGAGGGGTAAGAGGGCAGGGGGGGGGGCAAGGGGGAGGTAAAAGGGGGGTTTGGGGGGTGAGTGGAGGGAGTGAGAGGGTGGTGGAGAGGCGAGTGGAGAGTGGGGTTAGTGGTGTGAGTGGTGAGTATTAAGTAGGTGGGGTGGGTGGTTTGCGGAGTCAGTTGAGAATGGTGAGTGAGGTGAATGGGTGAGGTGAGAGCGAATCGTGGGAAAGCGCCGCGCGTCTCCCCATCCACCACAAGAAGGGTCTCAGGATCGTCCCTCACCACCACCATCACCACCATCACCACCACCACCATCACTACCAACAATAGCCGCCATTCGCCACTAAGTGGATGTGACGTCACCACGACGCTTGTGCCAGGCTATGTGCACCTTGAGGCCACGTGAAGTGTCGAACACCCGCTGGCAAGAGGTCACGGAGCAGACCCAGGTGCCATTGGTCGACTGACTGAGATGACTGGCCGATGCACCACCTATGCCCCCTACTGTGCCAGCTTGCTGTGCTTTGGTCACCCGGCGTTCTGCTTGTTTTGGTGAGCGTCGCTCCTCTGCCCTCCGTTGTTGTTGGAGGGCGACTGCCTCCAACTGCCCAGTAGCGTCCTTCACGAGCCTCCTCCACAGAGGCCGATCTTTACACCACTGGTACCAGTCATCGGCAAGTCCACTCAGATCCTCCTGTACCACATCACTCCATCTCGTCTCTAGCCCATGCCGCGCCCGTTTAGCCCCCTCTATCCGGCCGAACTAAAGCTGTTTAGGCATGCGGTGGTTGGGCATGCGAGCTACATGACCCAGCCAACACAGCCTTACCTGCCTGAGGAGCTCACCGATAGGACTTTGTCCAGAACTTTCAAGCATTTGTGAGCTTCTCACACAATCCAGCCTTGTTAAACCTAGGATGGATCGTAGGCAGGCCAGCCTGAACGTCTCTAACCGCCGAAGATGTTAAAATAAATCACGACGTTTCGGGCGCAAGCATCCGTCATCAGATGACGGACGCTTGTGTTGGGATTAATCCCATATCTGCATTTCCATAAATATGCTAAATTAATTTGTTGATATGCAAATTCCTTTGTCAAGGCGCCCTTCCTCCTCTAACCCAGCTTAAATATACGCTGCCAAGCTTGGTGGTGTTCATTCAGACGCTGTCTTTCCGACAGACATGTTCTTCACCTGAGGACGGCTGCTTACATTGTGGTCGAAACGTCGTGAGAATTGTATTTTATTATGTTTTATTTTTATTATTTTATTATTTCCCTTCCACGTGACTTTACCGAAAGAACCAAGAAGATGAATCCCTGCAGTCACGAAAGCTTTAAATCGAAATCCACTCGCTGTTGTTTGGCAGTCTCCTGCCCCGAGTAGAGGACTGTTCACCCCTCATGGTGGCAGGAGCCAGAGCCAGTCCACCGGACCTCCTGAATACCGCCTAGATCAAGGCGGCACCGATCCAGCTCCCGACAAAGGAGTGGCAGCCTCTCCTCCGCAGGGAGTGTTTGGACATTCCACGTGGCCACCTGCAGTGGCTTTTTTATGTTTCTAGAGGAACCAGAATAGACGCCTGTCCCCTTGGGGCCTCCGACACAAGCTTAGCTGAATACTTTCACGTAGTTTTATGGTAAGTCAATTGAAGGTGGATGGGGTTAACAGCCCCTCGCACCCATCCAGAGCCCCCATGTGGCCTCTGTGGTGGCTACAAACACCATATGGTGAATAGCCAATCGAAATTAGCCCTCCCCCCATGGCAGTGATCACAGGGTTACCGTCCGGCACCAACGAGGAGGTAGGGGGTTGTTTCGCTACCACCACCATCATCACCACCATAATCACCACCATCATCACCACCACCACCGCGTGAGGTCGCGCTGAAGGCCCCTCTTGGGCCCACGCACACACTCTCCAACAATGCTACTTCATCCCCAGTGGGGTGGTGGTGGTGATGCTGGGAGAGCCCAGTGGAATTCACAAGAAGTCACAAACAACAAACTCGTCAGGATAGGGTAAGCAGCTTGGAGGTTGGGGACAGGAGGAGGAAGAAGAGGAAGTGATGGGAGGGACGCGCGGTGCGCAGGGTGGACGAGGAGGGTATCGGAGTGGCACCCAGAGGTCGCGACCACGGGGAAGAGAAGACCCTGAGCCAGATGGGCAGAGATGGTGGTGATGGTGCTGGTAGTGATAATGGCGGTGTAGGTAGTGGTGGCGGTGTAGGTGGTGATGGCGGTGTAGTTGGTGGTGGCGGTGTAGGTGGTGGTGGCGGCGGTGGTGATGACGCCAAATCTGTAACAGCGGTCCGACTGTGTACGTGGCGAGTGACGACGGGGTGAGTGGTGCGAGCGAGAGGCTGGAAATTATCATTTAATTTGAGTGACGAGTTGGGGTGAGTGACGAGATGAGTATTGTAAGCGACGCACGCGGAGTCGTCCTCTGTTGTAGGGGGAGTGAGGAGCCCCCGCTCCCAACCCCTCGCACACCCCCAGCCAGGGGATCAAAGGGGACGAACCCCTCTCCGCCTCGTTTGGGGGGTGGGGGTCAATATTGTCTCAAGGCGACGTCTTCCAATGCGAGGAAGCCACGCGTCACACGGGGGAGGGGGAGATCCTGGTGAGACCCCCGCGGCCCCTCCCCTCGCTCCGCCGCCACTACCCACCCCTTCCCCCAGGAGATACCTCGACTCCCAGCTCCACTCTCATCCTCATCTCAGCTCCACTCTCATCACCCCAGCTCCACTCTCATCTCAGCTCCACTCTCATCTCAGATCCACTCTCCTCCTCCTCTCAGCTCCACTCTCCTCACCCCAGCTCCACTCTCATCTCAGCTCCACTCTCATCTCAGCTCCACTCTCCTCCTCCTCTCAGTTCCACTCTCCTCACCCCAGCTCCACTCTCCTCATCTCAGCTCCACTCTCATCCTCCTCTCAGTTCCACTCTCCTCATCCCAGTTCCACTCTCTTCCTCAGCTCCACGCTCACCCCTAGCTCCACCCTGCCCCTCCCCCCGTCTCCCCCCTGCCCCTCCCCCTGCCGCCTCCGCCACATCCACAGTCGCAATATCAGACCCAGCTTTTCGCACTTTGCCAACGGATAGAAATCCGCGGCAGCCTTACAGCTATTAATGAAAGCTCAGTCTCTTACACTCTGAAAGTGACGAGTCTTCACTAAACAGTACATTTCCGCCGATTTCTAATCAACAGTGCAAGTTACTCTTTGCGCTTCTTAGTTTAAATATCTTGTAGAGGAAGTCGCGTTTCACGGTTGTGGAGATCTTCCACGGATTTCAATTCGAGGCATTTTTTGTTTAAAGCTGCGATTCTGCCACTCCCCCCTCCCCCACACAACTCCCTCCCTCCCTGCCTGCCTCCCTCACCCCACCACCCCCCCACCACTCCCCCACACAACTCCCTCCCTCCCTGCCTCCCTCACCCCACTCCACCACACTCCCATCACCACTCCCCCACCACTCCCTCCCTGCCTCCCTCACCCCACTCCACCACACTCCCATCACCACTCCCCCACCACTCCCGCACCACCCCGGTGTCATACGCAGACACACAAAGACGACACCTGCCTGACAACACCTGGGCTCGCGTGAGGCTCCCGTCGCCAAATCGTCGTCATCACAATCCCCGTGAGGTCCGATGCGAGACGCGCTGTCATCATAACGAGTGAGAGACCATCGCACGCGATAGCACAACGCGTAGTGTCGTCGTCGTCGTCATTGCTCATTGAAGCCTCGGCTCGTGAGGTCGCGCCACGCTGGAATCGACCCTCCACGGCTCCGCTCCATCTCCATCTGGGGCCAATTAGCCCGGCTCCGGGATCGCACCCAATTCCCGCCACGTGGAGGTCACGACCGCCGGACCGAGGGGAGGAGGAAGAGCGAGGGAGAGAGCGCGGGGAGAGTGGGCGAGAGGGGGAGAGACGCACAGCGAGTGAGTGAGAGAGCGAGAGCGGACGGGAGCGAAGTAAGTAGCAACTCTGTGTGTGTGAGAGTCGCGACTGTGTGTGTGTGTGAGTTGTGACTGTGTGTGTGTGAGAGTCGCGACTGTGTGTGTATGTGAGTTGTGAATGTGTGTGTGTGAGTTGCGACTGTGTGTGTGAGAGTCGCGACTGTGTGTGTGAGTTGTGACTGCGTGTGTGTGAGTTGCGACTGTGTGTGTGAGGGTTGTGACTGTGTGTGTGTGAGTTGTGACTGTGTGTGTGTGAGTTGTGACTGTGTGTGTGTGAGAGTCGCGACTGTGTGTGAGTTGTTACTGTGTGTGTGTGAGTTGTTACTGTGTGTGTGAGTTGTGACTGTGTGTGTGTGAGTTGTGAATGTGTGTGTGTGTGAGTTGTGACTGTGTGTGTATGAGTTGTGAATGTGTGTGTGAGTTGTTACTGTGTGTGTGTGAGAGTCGCGACTGTGTGTGAGAGTCGCGACTGTGTGTATGAGTTGTGACTGTGTGTGTGTGAGTTGTGACTGTGTGTGTGTGAGTAGCAACTCTGTCTATGAGTTGTGACTGTGTGTGTATGAGTTGTGACTGTGTGTGTGTGAGTTGTGACTGCGTGTGTGTGAGTTGTGACTGTGTGTGTGAGTCGTCACTGCGTGTGTATGAGTTGTGACTGTGTGTGTGTGAGTTGTGACTGCGTGTGTGTGTGTGTGACTTGTGACTGTGTGTGTGTGAGTTGTGACTGCGTGTGTGTGAGTTGTGACTGTGTATGTGAGTCGTCACTGCGTGTGTAGTATTTGAGTTGTGGCCGAGGGTTGCAGGAGCGGTGAGCGTAACGACTCCTGTGCGACCTCCACCGTCTCCGCCGCGTTCTCTCGGTGCGGAGTGAGGCAAGCGGCTGTCTCGCTGTCGCGTCTTCACGGTCAGGTCGAGTTCTATTTAAAGCAGCAGTGCACGAGTTCCTGCGGCTCAATGAGCACTGCGGCCATCGTTGGTGCTCTCATCCTGCAGGGCCAGGCAGTGGTGGAAATTCCACATTCTTATGGCAGGGGGCGAGTCTATCAACAGGACAATCGCTGTTGACTTGCCCACAAAGTGGTAGTCGTTTTATGGACCCTGGAGGGAAGAATGATTGGCGGAGCACAACCAGGAGTTGAACTCGCACCAGCAAACCTTCCCATTGCCGAGCCCAGGGGTCGACATCGACGTCGCGACATCTCACAGCCGCGCTTCGTGTCGAGTCGTCTTCAGCGCGACGTTCAGTCGGTACCGTCACGTGACCGCCGTGAAATAATCCGTGCAGGAACCCACGTGGTCAGCAGCGCACCCCGTGCAGGCGAGGGGGGGGGGCTGTGGGGTGGGGGGATACTGGGTGACAGCATTCCGCACCATGCAAGCGGGGACTTGACGATTGTTACCGATTCATCGACTGCTGCTGCTGCTGCGTCATCACAGGAGGTGCGGTGCCAGGTGGAGCCGGTAGAACCGGTACAGATCCTGGTCGAGTGACTTTGAAGGATTCGATTTAAATTGACGTAGGAAAGGGGTGGGGTGGGGGGCTGTTGCGGGCTCGGAGGGGGATCGGGTGTCTGGCTCCCAGAATAGACGGACAGTGAAGGTCCAGACACGGCGGCGCGCTCGTCTCTCGTGTTCACCATCAAGGCCTCTCCTCCTCCTCCTCCTCCCGCCGCTGCCGCTGCTGCTGCTGAGTCTCCACTCGCCACCTCTTTCCTCTCTGTCCGGCAATCTCGTTTGACCACTCATTTGTAAATGTGTGGGGGACTAAGTCTAAGTACTGTAGTAGAAGCCGTAGCGATAGGTATACTGGATGTGGTGTGCCCGGGTGCGGACATATTCTGCGGGCGCTTTGACGGCTGAAATGTATTCCTGGCCATAACCCCAAGCACCAACCCTAGCCCCACCTCTAACACAACACCAACCCTAGCCCCACCTCTAACACAACACCAACCCTAGCCCCATCTCTAACACAACACCAACCCTAGCCCCCACTCTAACATAACACCAACCCTAGCCCCACCTCTAACACAACACCAACCCTAGCCCCCACTCTCACACAACACCAACCCTAGCCCCATCTCTAACACAACAACAACCCTAGCCCCACCTCTAACACAACACCAACCCTAGCCCCATCTCTAACACAACACCAACCCTAGCCCCATCTCTAACACAACACCAACCCTAGCCCCCACTCTCACACAACACCAACCCTAGCCCCACCTCTAACACAACACCAACCCTAGCCCCCACTCTCACACAACACCAACCCTAGCCCCCCCTCTCACACAACACCAACCCTAGCCCCACCTCTAACACAACACCAACCCTAGCCCCCACTCTCACACAACACCAACCCTAGCCCCCACTCTCACACAACACCAACCCTAGCCCCACCTCTAACACAACACCAACCCTAGCCCCCACTCTCACACAACACCAACCCTAGCCCCACCTCTAACACAACACCAACCCTAGCCCCACCTCTAACACAACACCAACCCTAGCCCCACCTCTAACACAACACCAACCCTAGCCCCCACTCTCACACAACACCAACCCTAGCCCCCACTCTCACACAACACCAACCCTAGCCCCACCTCTAACACAACACCAACCCTAGCCCCCACTCTCACACAACACCAACCCTAGCCCCCACTCTCACGCAACACCAACCCTAGCCCCCACTCTAACACAACACCAACCCTAGCCCCAACTCTAACACAACACCAACCCTAGCCCCACCTCTAACACAACACCAACCCTAGCCCCCACTCTCACACAACACCAACCCTAGCCCCACCTCTAACACAACACCAACCCTAGCCCCCACTCTAACACAACACCAACCCTAGCCCCCACTCTCACACAACACCAACCCTAGCCCCCACTCTCACACAACACCAACCCTAGCCCCCACTCTAACACAACACCAACCCTAGCCCCAACTCTAACACAACACCAACCCTAGCCCCCACTCTAACACAACACCAACCCTAGCCCCACCTCTAACACATCACCAAGCCCTCGTTACAGCCCTGGCCCCTGTCCCCCCCTCTCTCCTCGCTGCTCCTCCTGAGCCCCGAGCCCTGCCCCTCTCTGTCTGCCCAGGCCTCCCTGCCCCTCTCTGTCTGCCCCGGCCTCCCTGCCCCCTCCCCGCTCCTCCTGCTGATCCTTTTGCGCAACGGTCCTCCGCTGCCCTTCTCGTGGCGCGGTGCCACGCGTAAAGACTTGGAGCGGTGGCGCGGTGGTTAGCGCACTGCGCAAGGAGTCTGGTAGCAAGAGTTCGATTCCAGGCTACGGCTCTCATCAGTGGCGAGACGTCACTGATGAGAGCCGTCCACAGAGGAGATGCAACGATGATGAGATCAGCTGCTCGCGTGGCGTGCAAGTGCCGGGTGGATGATCCACATCGCAGGGATGCAGCAGTGGACTGACCATGGCTGATGACGAGGAACAGCGATATGTGGAGACGAGGAAGCCGATTACAAAGTTACAACAGTGAATGTGAAAAGACGACGAAATATCGCGATGATCGTCGCAGAGGGGGGAGAAACCACGGCGATGATATCCCACCGGAGCGATAACGAATCATTCTTCAGTCGCTCGTGGGAGAAGCTCGGCTGGAGGGGCGGGATGAGATGCCCGCCTCTCCAGAGGGACGCGCAGGGGATGTCACAACAGGGGAGTGAACCCCTCCTGCCCCGCCTGCTGCCCCCCCTCCTGCCCCTGCTCCCCCTCCTCCCCCTGCCCTCCCTCCTGCCCCTGCTCCCCCCCCCCCCTCCTGCCCCTGCTCCCCCCCCCCTCCTGCCCCCTGCTCCCCCCTCCTGCCCCTGCCTTCCCTCCTGCCCCTGCTCCCCCCCTCCTGTCCCTGCTCCGACAAGTCCCCGGCAACGCGCGACTTGGTTGAGTCGAGAAGCCACCGAGACGACTTTCACAGACAGAGGCATTGGTGAGCCAGCGCCTGTCCCCCCTCGGGCTGTAATGGGCGAGGCCGCTTTCTCTCCCAGGTCTCGTTTATCACCAGCGGGGTACAGTTGGTGAGCACAGTAGGGCATCAAGGCCCTGAACGCCGAGCGGCCAGCAACAGACAGCGCTGTCTAAGTTGTACGGCTGAGAGAGTGTAACGCGCGTTTGTTGAATCGAGCGAGGTTATGAGCGGTTGTTGGTGTGGGGGGAGACGAGGGTGGGAGGGAGGGAAGGGCTTCAGTGTGGTGAGCGGGTGGGTGGTTGCGTGGGTTGTGACTCGCAGTAGGGTGAGTGTGTGGGTGAGTGTGTGGGTGAGTGAGTGGGTGAGTATGTGGGTGAGTGTGTGGGTGAGTGTGTGGGTGAGTGTGTGGGTGAGTGTGTGGGAGAGTGTGGGTTGTGTTGGTTGTTGAACACAGTGGTGGTGGTTGAGACTAAACATTGTTTGCCAGCCCGAGTTCTCAGCACGGGTGGAGGAGGAGTCCGTGAGTGAGTTCGACGGGACCAGGATGCGTGGTGGTGGTGGTGGTAGTCGGAGTAGCGGAGTGACGAGAAGGCGACTGGTGACCGTGGCGAGTGGAGTGAATTGATGAGCGCTGCAGCCTACTACTGTAGAGGGAGTGGTGGTGTCTGGAATGGGGGGGGGGGGACATTTGGCGCTCGAGGCAGATGGAAAGGAAATCAGCCAAGAACTCAGAATGCGGCGAGACGTGAAGCGGAGTGGGAGGAGGGGGGGGCCTCGACTGTGGCCACGAGGAGTTAACGGAGCCGATTCAAGTGGAGCTCTGCCTTGCACCATCCAGCAGCGGCCATCCAACTCAGACAATCACCTTCCATGTAACCTGCAGCTTGGCTTACTCCCTGGCAACAACCCCCATCTCTCCTGCCCTCGCCCAGCAGCATCACCCTGCTCCTGATGCTACTCCCTGCCCCCAGCTACGGCAGGGCCTACCCCCACCACTACCCCTACCACTACCCCTACCCCCACCACTACCCCCACCACTATAACTAACCCTATCACTACCACTACCCTATCACTACCCCTATCACTACCACTACCCCCACCACTATCCCTATCACTACCCCAATCACTACCCCTACCACGACCCCTACCGCTACCCCAACCCCTATCACTACCCTTCCATTACCCCTACCCCAACCGCTACCCCTCCTAAACCACTGTCACTTATCCAGTCACCATAACTACACCACCACTTTTAATAAACCCCTTTATTTTAACCATCATCACCTCATGCACAATTGTATAATTGTTTTGAGCAGCTTAAATTATAGCGCTATCTAAATCTATATAGGATAAGAACTAGCCCGAACTAACGAGCCAACTAGCCACGACTACCAACCTTACCAAACTATCCCTAACGAGCCAAGCAGCCACCAGTACGTACCCGGACTGGATAGCTTTGCAACCAGCCACTCCTAATACAGCCCTACCACTAAGCCCCCTGCAGTTGCAGCCGTATCCCTCGCCAGCGAAGCGACGACCTCCAGCGAGGAGCTCTTTCCATAACGCGAGCCCAGGGGTCGACAGCCTTGGAGAGACGAAGGCTAAGACGAAGAAGAAGAGACATTTTTTGAAAAATTATTTTTGTCTTTGACCAAAATAGTTGGAGAGCGGCATCACATGCAGAGCTCCTTGTACGTGAACACAGACTCGGTAGCTATGCAGCAGACGACAACAACAACGACACATTCTGACTTAAATAACACGTACGGGATGGAATAAACGGCGTCGATTTAGTTTTGTTGTTGTTGCTGCCACCAAGACATTCCACAGTGACCCATTCCCTTGCAAATTTAATTTATTTTAGTTAAATTATATTTTAAGATAGAAGTTTTTTTTTAACGGCTTCCCACATGGGAGGGGGGGGGGGCAGCCAAAGAGCCACAGGTTCGTGACCCCTCGGCCTCGCCACGAGACCAGGAGTCGCCCACCGAGAAACTCGACCCGTGCCCGACTCCCGGGCTTGACGTCCACCTTGGGGCTTTTGCTCGAATTCCCACGTGGGGCCCCTTTAAGAAGCACGTGACGGCAGCAGCAGCAGTAGCAGCGCTCAGGGCCCCGTGCAGAGGTGATGGGGGACACGGACGCACAAAGACAAAGATCACCCGTGTAGCCTAAACATACTGTAGGGGACAAGTGCTGTTAGCGAGCAGCACCTATCACTGCCGGCACCGGACACGGGTAGGTGGTCTTTGTAATCACGCCCGGCCGTCTTTGTTTCCCTAGTGTAGGTATGTTGAACTTCTTTCGCACCGTACGTAGGCAACCGTGATAATCGTAGGTACAAATTTGAGGCTGAGTCGACCTATGTGAGGCCCAGGACTGGTTCAGATAATCATCACCGATGTTGGTGGCCGCGAGGGAGAATCGAATTCGGGTCACCGAGTTCGTAACGCAGCGAGATAATCACTGCGACACCGATCCCCACAGACACGCACGCTGACACCCACAAGACAAAGATCCCCCGTATAGCCTTAACAGACTGTAGGGGCAAGTGCTGTTAGCGAGCACCTATGAAGGCCGGAACGGTACACGAGGGGGTGGGTGGCCAGCACCACGCCCGACCGCCTTTGTCTCCCTAGTGGCAATGTTTACACACTGCACCAGGTACTCATTAGAGGCTGAGTCGACCTAGGGGAGGCCCAGGACCAGTTCAGATAATCGTCACTGGTGTTGGCCGTGAGCGGGAATCGAACCCGGGTCGCCGGATTCATAGCGCAGCGCAATAACCGCTACACTATCGCTCCCCACAAACACACACACTGACACACAACACACTGACACACACACTGACACACAACACACTGACACACACACTAACACGTACGCTGATACACACACACTGACACACACACTGACAGGTTGACACACACACAGACACACTCACACTGACACACACGCACCTGCTCTTGTCCATCACTCAGAGTCCCCGGCCCACTTAGCAGAAGGACTGCGCATTCTCCCCCCCCCACCACTCACGCTCCCACCCCCTATCCTTACTCTCTCGCTGTCTCGCTCTCTGCTCGCCTCACATCCCCTCCTTTCATCTCTCTCTAACCTCGTCTCTCTCTCTAACCTCGTCTCTCTCTCCTCGTCTCTCCTATTCCCCCGTACTGTCTCGCTTCCCGGTCTCCCCTCTCTCTTTAGCTCTCTCTCTCCCACTCTCTCACCCCGTCTCCTCTCACCCTGCCCTCTCCCCTACTGTCCACTTGTTTCCACGCTCTACTCCTACGCTCCCTCCTGCGCTCTCCTTCCCTCGCTTTCTCCTACTCTCTCACTGTCTACTCTCCCCTCATCTCTCTCCCGTCTCTCTCTCGCTCTCATCACACCAACACGCTACCGGATCCTCTCAGCAGCACTCGGAGTGTGCTATGTCCGCGTGTATCCAGAGCTTCCAGTCATTATCATTCTAATAATTGTCAGTGAGGTTACTTGACAGTAGCATAATAATTTGTTGGAGACGTCGACCTGGTTCACGCGGACGTGAACCGTGCCGTGCCAGCTGCGAATCTGTGGAGAGTTCTCGATCTGTGAGGCCGGCTGGGTGCGTGGGGTCACTTGCAGTTAGCAAAAAGGATCGAGTGAGTGTGTGGGGGGGAGCTCTGTGCATCTCTTGTGAAACCCAACCACCACCACCATCACCGTCTCATCGTCATCTCCACCATCACCCGCCAGGTCACGACGCGTGCTGCAGGAGGAGAATCCAGGACAACGCCGATGACGATGACGACAGTGGCGGCCACGGCGATGATGACGGCGATGATGATGACGTCCAAGCGGCCGCGTCGCCGCGTGGGCTCGGGGAGGATGCTGCCGCTGCTGGTGATGGGGGCGGTGATGGCAACGTCCCTCGTGATGGCCATGGGACCTCAGGCCGCGTGGGCTCACGGCGGCGATGTCGCGGGTGATGGCGGTGACGGCCACGAGGAGTTCGCCGCTCACGATGGAGAAGCGCCGGCGGTGGACGACCACGAGGTCCATTATGACGACCGCGACTTGGATGGTGGCGATGTTGCTGCTGGTGGTGATGCCGACGTCGATGGTGATGTTGATGATGGTGGCAATGCTGAAGGTGACATCGGCGGTGATGATGGCGGTGGTGATGTTGATGCCTATGGCGGTGATGTTGATGATGGTGGTGATGACAACGACATCACCGATGGTGTTGATGATGAAGCGGAACAGGAAACAACGGAGGGAGGTGTGGATGATGGGGTTGATGATGGCGGTGATGGTGGTGCAGACTTCGCAGATGAAGGCACTGATGATGATGATGTCGGAGATGTTGTCGAGGAACATGAGAGCGCACAGGCAGATGCCGTGACGAACGATGAAGATAATGACGATGATGTAGCTGAAGATGATCATGCAGCTGATGAAGTTAACGATGGCAGCGATGTTAATCAGAACGATGACGCTAATGACGTGGACGAAGAGAGTGATCAGACAGGGGACGAGGAAGAGAATGTGGCAGTAAGAGGAGGAGCCGACGATGATGATGAGGAGGACGAGGTGACGAGTGAAGATGTTCTGGACCAGGAGCAAGAGAATGAGGAGGAGCAGTGGTCGGAACAAGGAGAAGATGTGGGAGAGGAGGAGGGGCAGGAGGAGGAGGGAGACACAACCCAGGGCACAGAGCAAGGTGGTGACGGCGAGGAGGATGAGGAGGTGGACGTGGAGGATGAGGAGGTTGTGGAGGAGGTGGTGGAGCAGGTGGTGGTGGACACGACTCAAGGTAAGGAGCGGACCCGTACTCCACGCCGCTGTTTCCCATCGATCGATCTCCTCGGTGCAATCTCCACTGAGTGCTTGCCGTGCCACCCGAACCACTGCACGGAGTGGGTGGCACGTGACTAGCAGCAGCCACAGCCATAGCGAGAAGCATTCTGGACGTGGTGTGCCGGGTGCGGAATTATTTTTCGGGTCGCTGGTAGCCTGGGGTGAGCACGACGGTCGAGTAGCACGTGTGCGTGCTTTCTGTGTTGCTGCAAGGTGGCCAGTAGATGTCTGTACAACAACGGATTGCTGAATTCATCCGTGCGGAGCTCAGAGTGTGTGTGTGTCTGTGTGTTAGCCCCATCATTAGCATGTACGTACTCTATGCTGAACTTCTTTCGCACCGTGCGTCGCCAACTGTGCGAATCGGAGGCGCCCGCTACCAGACATCTCCGCTGGAGGGCGGCAGAGTCGGCGGCGGCGCAGGGAATCTCTCCGCTGCGTCTTCGGGTTAAACCGCGTGTCGCTCGGCGGGATGTCCGACGTTTCGCGACACGTGTTGGGAGCTTCTTCTTCAGGAGCTGAAATGAGCGACTCACGTTCGTCAGTGATATGATTATCACAATCGTCATCATCATTATCATCATCAGTGACAGTATAAATCATAATCACTGTCATTAAGTGATAACACGAGGGCGTCTTTTCTCAGTCGAGATTTTCGGGAACTGGCTTGAAGTCGGGAATATCGGCGTAAGGCACTACCACGAGAATAAAAGCTACGTATATCCGTATCATTGCACCCTATACTGTATTCCTAAGTACTGTCCGTGTGCACATCTGGTAACCCAAAGCAACCCTACCGATAACAACCTCCCTCCCTCCGCCACCTCCCCTCGATCCCCTTGCGCCTCCCCCCTCGTCTGCTCACAGAGGAGCCGCAGGATCGCTCCGGGAAGGACGAGGCAGCGTACCAGGACGGGTCCCTGTGTGCCCTCTGCTCTCTGTGTCACGTGAGTGAGATGATGCACGGTCGTCGTCGTCATCATCTTTAACTCCGAACAATCACTGATGGTACACCCAGCACAGATTCTGCTCAGATTGCTGTCACCCCTGGGGTGGAGTGCCCCGTTCCTACCTCACAGCACCACTCGCTAGAGTCCCGAGTGAAGCAGCAGGCAGGCTGAGCGGTGGTCCGGAACTCGCGGATTCACTCCACGCTCACTCGCCGTCAGTCAGTCGCCTCCTCATCACTCCTCTACCGCTACCACCGCCATAGTTACCGCTCGCGTGAACGTCACTCTTTTATTCCTCCACCCGTGTTGAAGACTCGGTCTGTGCCAGATGCTGACTGTGTTGTCTCATCCACCACCACACTGTGTTCAACAACCACCACCACACTGCAGGCCACAACAACTCGCTCAACCACACACTCACCCACCAACTCACACACTCACTACACTGCAAGTCACAACTCGCTCATCCACTCCACCTTACCCACTCACTCACTCACCCACTCACTCACTCACTCACCCACCCACTCACTCACGCACCCACCCACCCACTCACACACTCACCCACCAACTCACACAATCACTACACTGCGGGTCACAATGATACTCCTTCCCTCCCACTGCCCTACTTTGGAATTCGCTGTTAGATATCAAATTTGAATGAACTACATCTGACTGGGATTTGCTCTCCAGCTCACCGGCTGAGCGAACTGGAACGATCACCATCGGCGCGTCATAAAGCCGCTCGAGTACCGCGTGCCAATTTCATTTGCTTGGCCATGTCGGGTCGTGGAGGGTCTTCACGACACAAACTTGGCCCAGATCATCACGTGACATTACCATGTGTGTTTTTTTAATGAATTATTCAGTTCACTCATTGCATCGTTGCATATCTCGCTTTGCCAAGTCCTAGTTGACTGTTTGTCAACGTCTCGCAGTTATATAATGCCACACGCTTGGTCCGTTTCCCAAGCGTTATTTAATGTGAATTCCAACGCAGATGGTTATGAAACCAAAAACGTGACATTCATCAAAATCCTCAGATGAAACAATAATCTTCACTAGAGCCTACTTCCGATCCTCCCTGAACACAACCCCCAACTCTTCTCCCCTCGCCCAGCCTCGTCCTGCCACTGCTGCTCCCCTGCCCCCACCCCCAGCTACGACCAGGCCGAGCCCAACCCCGATCACTACCCCAACCCCAACCCCGATCACTACCCCTATCACTACCCCTACCTCTATCACTACCCCAACCCCTATCACTACCCCTATCACTACTCCTACCTCTATCACTACCCCAACCCCTATCACTACCCCTATCACTACCCCAACCCCTATCACTACCCCTATCACTACCCCTACCCCTATCACTACCCCTATCACTACTCCTACCTCTATCACTACCCCAACCCCGATCACTACCCCAACCCCTATCACTACCCCAACCCCTATCACAACCCCTACCTCTATCACTTCCCCTACTACTACCCCAACCCCTATAACTACTCCAACCCCTATCACTACCCCAACCCCTATCACTACCCCAACCCCTATCACTACCCCAACCCCCATCATTACCCCAACCCTCATCATTACCCCAACCCCTATCACTACCCCAACCACTACCCCAACCCCTATCACTACCTCAACCCCTATCACTCCTTAACCACGCCCACCTACTCTCCTGTCTCCATAACCACCACCACTTTTATTAACAAACCCCACTCTTTATTATCTCAATAACTATCATCTTTTGCACAATTGTATAATTATTGTTAGGCAACGAGGCGCTGCTATAGAACATCTATGTCACGTGATAGATCTTGCATCGGCCTCACTTGGCGGGGAGTAGGTGACAGCATCACAACATCACCATCACGAGCAGCATCGTGGAGAACACAAGGAACAACATAATTATTATTATTTATATTTATACCTCCTTCACGTGCCTCTCTCCCTCCACAAAATACACACAAGTTTAAGATGTGAAACAAAATACGTATTTCTTTTTTACACATCCGATCAGCCACACGGCATTTCTCCTCTTTCTGGGAGTGCATCTTGTGAGAGCCATTGGGTTACGAGCAAAGCTCTGCACGGGTTTCCACGTTCGGCGTCTCATCAGCAGAGTCGGGCTCGCTTCCAACGGTGCTGCTAGACACGGGCTCCAAGTTCGACGCGAAGCCAAACAAGATACCCAGCACGGGATGGCAGCGGCTTCCCTCCGGCTACCCCTGATCCTCCACCGCACCTCCCCCCTGCCCCCCCCCTCTAACCCCCCCCCCCCAGGGCTGTGACACCACGTGCAGGCAGTGTCCGTGTGAGGAGGGCGATGAGAGTCCGCACTGCGCCAACTGCAAGGTGCGTGCATGCCCCATACTTAATTAATAGATACATAAATACAACTTGATACACCTGGGAGCATAGACGCCGGTAGCATAGTACAGGACAACCATTGCTTTTGCTGCGGTGCCCTCTGCTGCTGCTTCTGTCCACCACGTGGCAGCTCTGCAGCACCTTGCCTTGCACGAGTTTTCTATGCGCCATTAAGAAGGGCCGTTGCCCGAAACGTCGCACGTTTAAATTGAGTGTCCGTCGCGCATGCCGGTGGGCGACCAGCCACGCCCTATTGTCCAGGGCCACCCTGCTTGAGGCGCCACGGTGGCTAGGAGATGTTAACTACCTCGCCTGGTAGGCAGGAGGTCGTGGGTTCGATCCCGACCTTGACGCCAGCTGTATATTTGGAGTTTGTGTATATCATGGGTTTAGAGTCTTTGGCTGCTATACGTTTCCGCACGACGATGATGAGTCACTTCGTCGAGATATCGTTTGTGATAGCCAGGTCGCTTCTGAAAAGCAGCTACATCGCTCAGTGGACCTTACCCGGTCAAATAAAAATAGTGACGAGCTTCCGACACGGCCTTCGTAACCGCCCTGCCCCCCGACGTGCTTTATGAGCTTTGTCTTTGCCTTTGTCGCAGTATTGCCACGCGTGTCACCTCTGTCCGGTTCTCTGCGACACCTTGTGTCAGCCAGGTGACTTCACACACACGGACACGCACACAGGCACGGGCTCTTGTTCAGTTTTGTGTCATTCCCCCGCACCTCCAATTAGCGCGGCTTGCTACGTATGGCGTGAAAGAAGATCAACATACATATGTGCATACAACATCGACTGTCATTCTCCACTAAGTGGTGGTGACATTACCACGGCGCTTGTTCCAGGCTAGGTGCACTCCGAGGCCACGTCAAGTATCGAAGGCTTGCTGGCAGTAGGTCACAGCACAACCCATACGCAGGTGCCATGGGTTGACTCTGAGATTACTGGCATATGCACCACCTGTGCACCTTACTGTGCTAACTTGCTAAGTTTTAGCACATACGTAATTACACACATAATGACACGTACATAAGTGCATACACGCACACAGAAATTGATAAATATCCCCCCTATGGCCTCAGCATACTGTATGGGCAAGTGCTGCTAGCGAGCACCTATGAAGATCGGCACATCACACGAGGGGGTGGGTGGCCAGCACCACGCCCGGCCGCCTTTGTCTCCCAAGGGGTGACATTTACACTTCGCACCAGATACTCATTTAAGGCTGAGTCGACTTAGGGGAGCATCAGGACCGGTTCAGACACACGCACAGTTCGTGGTTGGTGATGTTGTTAATCAAGTCGTCGTTGTTGTTCGAATAGTTGTGAATAGTTGTCGATAAAGGTTCGTGTTGGTCTCGTTGTTGTGCTAGCCGCTGTTGATGATGCTGATGATGATGTTGTTTTAGTTGATGTTGATGAGGTTGTTGTTCTAGTTGATGTTGTTATTGCTGATGTTGTTGATGTTGTGGTTGATGTCCTTGTTACACAACATGTGTTTGTAACGCCCTGATTAATAACGCGGTCACACAAGCGGGATTAATAAGAGAACATCTCCTGACGAGCACATTCTACGCCCCCCGCCCTTCCCTCTGCTCGCCCCCACGCGCAGGAGGATACGTGGATGGATTCAGTGGCTCCATTTACCAGTGAGTTGGGAAATTCAAATTATAGTCATAAGTGATACGGTATTATTTTCATCATTATCATAGTGATCCGTGAGATAAGTATAATCATACTCAGTATCATCAATATCAGCATCGCAATCATAATCACCATTCGGGATATCAGTATCATAATGATTTTTATTGCATCATTATGCTCCACATCAGGGATGTGATTTCAGTATCATAATCATCATCAGTGGTATCATTATCACAATCACTATCATTATCAGTTGAATCATCACAATCATCATTATGTGATATCATCGTCATTGGTAAAAACACGATCACCTTCCCTACCCTAAATCCCCCTCCTCCCCAATTGTCACAATCATCTTCACCCCTCCCTCCCACCCCTTCCTCCCACCCCTCCCTCCCACCCCTCCCTTCCACCCCTCCCTCCCTCCCCCCCTCCCTCCCTCCCTCAGGACCGTCTCAGGTCTGTGGTCGGGATCGCAGCCGGCGTGAGGAGCGAGCGGTGATGTCGCATCCCCGAAACATCATCGACAAGAACAACAGTCGTTACCACAACAATACAATATGCACAACAGCAACAATAATGATAACGCAATATAACAACAGTAACAGCAAAAAACGACAGCGAACACAGAATGAGTTGTACGAGTGAAAGTAAAGCAATAATAATCATTAATACAGCCCCACACAATCAGGACGGCTGGCATAACCCTGCACCCCCCCCCCCGCCTTCCCCCCCACTGCATATCTGCTTCCTCTGCTCCACGAGCAGAGGACACGTGGCCTACATATCCACAGCGACTCTCTGTCGTTGTCCTCGTGTCTCACCCTGCATCCGTGACTCACCACGGATCCGTGACTCACCATGGATCCGTGACTCACCACTGATCCGTGCCTCACTCTGCATCCGTGACTACGGATTCATCACTCACCACGGATCCGTGACTCACCATGGATCTGCGACTTCACAAGTCAGTGGTGACTCACCATGGATCTGTGACTCACCACGGATCCGTGACTCACCACGAATCCGTGACTGACCACTGAATCGGTGCCTGCTCTGCATCTCATTATCTCACCCCCCCCCCCACCCCGTAATTAATTTAGAGGTTTCCAGACTTCAGTCCTCGCGACCCGGCACGTGTCGCCCTGCCCGTGTTTGCCAATCTCCGTCATTGTATCCGTGAGACGGGGACCGTGCGTTACAGGGCGTGTTCGGACAAGGCGAGATTGGAGAGTGGGGATTGCACTCCAAACATTTCTTGCGGCGAACTGCAGCAGCGACACGGCACCGAAGCCCTTCCAAATTAATTCGTCGCATGCGCTGTGCGCGCCGGATGATTGGTAAACACGTCCAGCGTGATGCAGTAGCCGGGTGACGATTTAAATTAATTTATAGTAATTATATGAATAAAAAAGGTATATTGATTAGATTCAGCGCTTGGTACCGGTCGTGATGGGACGCGTTTAACCAATCATCTGGCTTGTGTAGCGTGTAACGGTGTAGTTTGTACCTGCACTGTGATTGAGACACGGTGACATGGGTTCCCACAATCCCTGACATTAAAGGAATCCACTCACAACAAAAAAGCACGGCTCTTCTCTTGTAGCTGCCGTCACGCTGCAGTGGCAGCAGTGGCACGAGCATTTCACCTGCAAGTCAATGGGGGAAACAGACTGATCGGCTGAAGCAGAAACGTGAAGCTACCAAATCTCATGGCCCGGGGGTCGGGACTGTCCCAGTGGTGTCACCGATTCTCCCCCCCGTGTCTCCCCCACCCGAAGCGTCCTTTGGCCTCGTGAACTACACGTTCTGGCCTCGTGCTCGACTTATCCAGCAGTGGATTGCTCATGGCTGATCATGGTGATGATGAAGCGGGCAAAGGGCGTTGCTACCCAGTCGGGCGGTGGTGGTGGTGGCAATGCTGCACATAGCTGCCTATGATCCAGCACTGTGAAGGCAGCAGCGAGGGTTGGTGGATCACGCACAGATGTCGTGAAACTCCCTTCTACCCGTGGGCGTCGAGGAGGAGCCCGTGCCCTGGCTCACCAGGAGAAGGCACTACAGCAAACATATAGATTCCATCTGCACGGGATAGAGTGTTGCCCCGTCTCACGCCTGGCTTTTATCCGGCTGCTCCCGTTTCATCCGACTTGTAAACACTTTTTTCGAAGTCACCTTCATATATAGAGGACCGCAGAGCTTGTGGAAATGTTGTCAACGCTGGGTCACCGCGTCCCCTGTGGTTGCTTCTCACGCTTTTCTCTATGGGAGTTGAAATCAGTAATAATTAATATATAATTATTATTAATCGAGCAGGAGGCGGGGAAATAGAGAGGGAACCAATCACTCGCCGTGTGGGCGGTGCTAGTGCGGGAGTGGGCGTGCCTATGCAAAAGTGGGCGGACAGAGAGAGGAGCTGCCACCTCAACCACGTGTCCCGGCTGAGCCTCACCGAGGTTTGGTAGCTTCAAAGAGATGCTCGTAGACAGGCCACGTGGCAGGGTTTTCACTCCCATTATTCGTGATTGATGTGTTGATAAGTCAACGCGATGATCCTGTAACTTTAATTGAGCCGTGAGCGAGCCGAAACAATAATCCTTCACTTGTTTGGCGGTGTCGAGGGTGGTGGAGGGTCATACGACACAGCTATAGCCAGATTATTACGTGGCCTAAAATGATGAATGTGGGCTTGCGAGTCCAGCGCAAATGTGACTTGAATCGAAAGTCGTGTTTAAGATAATTCTACTGTTGCTGGTGGTGGTGATGGTGGTGTGGTTGCTCCACTGAGCATACACGCCGATTGTGATGGTGAGTGCAGGTTGGCGGGGTGTGTTTTATTTGACGTGTTGTTTTTGGATGTTTGTGTTGAATTGATTTTAGTTTCGTTCGTCTGTAATGGGGTTATAGCGCGGGGTCATAGCGCGCATTACACAGACACTGTGACACACACAAAGACAAAGATCCCCCGTGTAGCCTTAACGGATTGTTGGGGCAAGTGCTGTTAGCGAGTACCTATGAAGGCCGGCACAGCACACGAGGGGGTGGGTGGCTAACACCACGCTCGGCCGCCTTTGTCTCCTGAGTGGCGATGTTTACTACACACCGCGCCAGGTACTGATTTGAGGCTGAGTCGACCTACGCACATTGCGACACAGGCACACTGACACACCAACAAACGTAGAGAAAGATGCAGACACACTGACACAAACGCTATAAACTCAAACACACACTGACATACAAATACAGAGACATAAACACACAACGCCATTTGCCACGAAATGTCACCACAGCGCTCGTGCCAGGCTAGGTGCACTTTGAGGCCGTCACGTAAAGTGAGGCAGACTGTTGCTGCTGGCAAGAGGTCATGGGACTGACTCAGGTGCTATAGGTTTAATCGACTAAGGGTGACTGACAGATGCACCACGCGCGCTCCCCACTGCGCCATACACGCACACACGCACACACACACGCACACACACACACGTGGAATATCTGTGTCAGGTGAGAGTGAGGAAGGGGTGGATGTATTGGGGATCGCCGCGCGGGATGGAGAACTGTGACTTGATTTGGTTTCCAGTAAAAATGCGAAATCACCTGAAGCCGACAACAGCGTGAATTTATTGCGCGCCATTCCACGCGGACACACAAAGATACACGCAAAGATACCCCGTATGGCCTCTAGCAGCCTTTTAGGACAATCGCTGTTAGCGAGCACCTATTTAGGCGGGCACGCGAAGGAATAGGTGGCCAACACCACGCCCGGCCGCCTTTGTCTCCCCAGTGCTGATGTCTACACACCGCACCTGTGCCCAAGACCGCTTCAAATATTCGTCATCGATGTTGGCCGTGAGCGGGAATCGAACTGGGGTGGCAGGGTTCGTAGCGTAGTGCGCTAACCACTACACTACCGCTCCCCACACACAGGCACACGCACACAGGCACACGGACGCACACGCACACGGGCACACACGCACACGGGCGCACGCTCGCGCACAGACAACCGCAACAAACCCGCCGTTCACCACTAAGTGGAGGAGACGTCACCACGGCGCTCGTGCCAGGCTAGGTGCACTTTGAGGCCACACACACACACAATAATACGCACACATGAATTCGCCGCTACCTACTGAGACTGACATGAAGCCCCATACACGAACATGGATACCAGTCAATTCACACATAGAGACCCAAAGACTCACATAGAAACCCATAGACCCGTAGGCTCATACAGAGACCAGTAGATGCACACAACGTCCCCGTAGACTTGGACTGAGCTGTGATAAAGTCGGCCTCTCTGGTGGAGCGAGTCGATGATCTCAGCAAAGGGCAGCACGCAAAGCCCTCGACAGTCAGCGTCTGTTGGTCTCCGTTGGGCAACGCTGACACGTGGGCCCCTGACGTGGGCGGAGAGGCCTGCCCGAAGCGACGCTATCCTCCCGAGGGACCCTTGACCCTGGCTCGACGCGAGGTGAGTGCACAGCGGAGCTGCGGCTGCTAAAAAGACGGCGTTGTGGGTCCGCGGGCCGCGGGGTCGTCGCTCCAAGGGCAACGGGGAGACGTCGCCACCAGAGGGCGCTGCGACACCGACTCAGCGGCAGAGGTCGCAACTGGGTACCCGATACCCGTACCCTACCCGGTACCCGGCTACCTGTACCCGGCCGGGTACGGCTAGCCGTTTGCGACCCTGGTGCGGCCGGGTACGGGTAGGCCGTGAGTCACTGGTGAGTCACCGTTTGTCACTCATTTCGGGTAGGGAACGGGTAGGGTACGGGGGTAGGGAACGGGAACCCGTACCCGGCCGGGTACTGGTACCCATTTTCGACCCTGGTGCGGCCGGGTACGTGTACGGGTAAGGAATCAAAACCCGTTTGCGACCTCTGCTCAGCGGCACGAGGCGTCTCTCCTCGCCTCCCGAGTCACCATATCAACTCTATTATTATTATAATTATTTATTATAAAATAGAGGGTTTTTTTGGGTTAGAGCACTATCTAACCCACAAACACATTTTTTTATTGATTATATTGGTCGCGAAAAAGCCTACGTGTTAAACATAACTCTTAAATTTTGATTTAAAGCTTTCGTGACTGCAGGGATTCATATTCTTGGTTCATTCGGTAAAGTCACGTAGAAGGGAAATAATAAAATAATAAAAATATTAAACAATAAAAAATTTTCACGACGTTTCGACTGCAACAAGAACCAGTAATATATATAAACTCGTTTAAACTATTTTTATATTTAACCAGGTAAGACTCACTAAGCTCTTATGTTTTTTTTAGAAACGACCTGTCACAAATGGTTACCCACTGAAGTGGTTCATGATGTGGAAATATCTATCGGGCAAATACTCTAAGTGCGTGATGTTGCTTGTGATGGTAGAGGGGCAAAGCGGAGAACCCGGAGAAAAATCCACGCGACCACGTGGAGAGAGACATCCAAACTCCAAATATACAGCCGGAGTCACCCCTCTCCATCCCATCTATAATCCACGGTGTAACAAAAACATGTTTAATTTCTTGTCCCTGGATAGTCAGTGTTATTTTCTAATTGTTAATTCCTCAACAGTACAGGAAGTGGCTGTTGCTATTCCCCACAAACTCTGCTTTTGTGACCAGGACAGTGATATTTTGAAATGTGCCTATTTTCAATGAGAAAACGCATTAACAATTAGAAAACAACACTACCCAGGAACAAACATCGTGTTACATAGTGTGTATAATCACCCCTCTCTCGTCCATTCATTACTCACGACTCTCATTCTATGACGTAATGTCTCGAGTCACCCCCAAAGATCCATCCCATCCGTCCATGAGTCACCCTCCCACGTCACCCAGAGACCCCCCCCCCCTTCACGTCAACACGTCGACGTCACGCGATGGGCGTGGCCTCCATCCCCCGTCCCCCGCAGCCAATGGGAAGCGCGCCCTGAGCAGGGGTGCGGTTGGGGGCGGGGCCCGTGACGTGTTTTGGCGCCAAACGTGGATCGTATAAAAGCTGAGTTTGCTGCGACGCAGTGTTCAGATACGCGTGGAGGTATTCGCCCGGGTGCTGTCGCCCAGGTATCGTCCAGGTGACGGGCGAGGCTGACAGGTGACGGGCGAGGCTGACAGGTGACGGGCGAGGCTGACAGGTGACAGACGACTAGTGAGCGAATCCCTGGCGGGAAGACGCGAGGCTTCCATCAGCTCGACTCATCTCCTCCCATCAACGCTGGTGCGCAGTTTTAAATCATCGCCACCACCCCCATCGGCAAGCAGCAGCAGCAAGCAGCCAGTCTTGGTCTATCCACTGCTGGATGATAACGCTTCCCAAGAGGGGCCGGCGTGACCTTCTGTACACAGTGCCCGCGACGTCTGAATAATCCGCGTCGCTCGTCCCCGTGGGCGAAGACGCCGCCTGGACTCCGACTGCCGGAGACCAAAAACAAAACAACGCCGACTAGCGGACCCCAGTGAGAGGGGGTCACGGACCCCGGTGAGAGGGGGTCACGGACCCCGGTTAGAGGGGGTCACGGACCCCAGTGAGAGGGGGTCTCGAACCGGGCCCCGGACGATCCCCGTCAACCACAGGGACCCCCCCAAAGCCGTCGCTCATCCGCTGCGTTAGTTTCCTGCGTCACTGGCAACAGTCGAAGGCGACCCGTGGGTTTATTCATTTACTCTGGGACTATGGCTCTGGCTCATTCAGTAGAAGTCTGCCGGGGGATCTCCCCCCCGAATCGGGGGGCAGGCGGCCCCCCGCTGCCCCGCAACCCTCTCCGACCCCTCAACTCCGCGGTCTGCCGGAATCTGTTCGGGGGTCCGGGCGAGGATGGGGGGCGACGCGACTCGCAGCTGCGGAGGGAGCTGCGAGAGCTGGCCAGGAGGGACTGCGAGCGATGGGGGTTCGACTTCGAGAGAGGGACCCCCCTGTCGCCCCCTTGCCGGGAGCAGCAGGAGCAGCAGCAGGAGGAGCAGCAGGAGGAGCAGCAGGAGGGGTCCCGCTACAAGTGGGAGAAGTTGGACGCACGGCTGGTGCCCGAATTGTATTGGCCGAGCATCATCGTCAGCGGCAGCAGCAGCAGCAGCGGCATCGTCCATCCGTCGGCGGGAGATGTTGGTGGTGGTGGTGACGGCGGAGAGAGGCTGGAGGAGGGCGACTGCAGCAGCAGCAGCAGCAGCTCGAGTTGTTCGCGACGCCGTGTCGCGACAGGGGAGCGCGACAGCAGCGGCAGAGAGGTCGCGACGAGACGGAGCCATCGCCGCAGGTGTCGCGAGCGGGAGCCGCATCGCGATCTGACAGGTAACGGCGTCCCGTCCATCGCCATCATCCCCGTGTGTAGTCGACCTTCTCACGCAGCCCATCCACAGTCACCCGCAGGTGGACAATGCCGCCTCCTTCCACGGAGCTGTCTCTGCGCAGAGCTTTGCTTGTGCTGAACCAACGCCGCACTTCTCCAGAATGGCAGGTTGCCTGGTGGGATGTGTTAAAGTATGATTTTATATGCGGAGGGACAGGCATGGAAATGCAATCTGCATTCCCTTGGTAAAGTTTAAATCAATTCGTAAGACATTTGCTGCTGCTGCTGCTTTGGCAGCGAGAACACTCAGCACGGCCCGTGTCAGCCACAACGCCGCGCGTGTCGGTGTGACCTTAATATCATTTAACACAAAACTTTCTCCATAAAAACAATGGGACATCGCTCGAGAGTGGGCAGAGGCGTGGTGGTGTGTTGTGTCTCTGGCTGGACACTCATTTCCTGTGGGCGACTCTGGAGGACTGCGGTGGGACCTGGGGGGGGGGGTGCCTGGCCCTGCCTGAGCTTGCCCGGGCAGGTCGCGGCAGGAGGCGTGGGGCCGAGGGCGTGGGGGGGGGGGGGTTTGGGGGAGGGCAGAGCCTGACTTAGGGGCCGTCCATAAATGACGTCACGCACCTAGGGGGGGTGGGGGTCAGATATTTGTGACGATGTGTAACGAGGGGGGGGGGGTGGGAAATGTGACGTCACATCAAATTGCGCAACTTTAAATAATTATAGACAACACGTTCTACATTATTAAATAGACTTTTAATACATGTTTTCTCTTACAACATCAAAGTACAGCGCCACATTAAATATGCACTACAATGGCAATAGTTTAAAGCGATTTGAAGCATGTTTTATATATTTGGGGGGGGGCAGGGCTTTGTGACGTCATATTTTAGGGGGGGGGTCTGACTTTTTGTGTCGTCGTGTGACGGAGGGGGCGGTCAAAAATCTGTCTAACGGGCAGCAGGTCGTGTGAGGTGGGGTAAAGAGTGGGCTGCCCCCCCCTCTCTTTCAAGGCGTCTGGGCAGCGTGTTAGAAATAGTAGCACCCCCCCCCCCCCCCAAAATACCATCGAGCCGAGGGGCCCTCTGCCAGACGTCCTCTCGTCTCCTGGAGGTTCTTCCAGCGGCAGAGTCGCGAGCATGCGATTGCCGGGCTGCGCCTCTACCTGAATATGTTTGCGTAAAAAAAAAATCCACGCCACGTGACTGGGTAATTCAAGTTCGGTTCCCGTTTGAAACTCGGTGACTTGAGTCACCTTCGGTGTTGTGGGAGTTTCTACCCCCCCCCCCGTCTCTTCCACCCGTGTGGAGGAAGTGTGATTGGCATCGACGAAGTGTGGGTGACATCAGGGCTGAGTGAGTCCACGGTTTAACACGTCGGCTTTTGTGACCAATGTTACTCATGATAATGGTTTTGAGGTTAGATCGCGTAAGTATAAATACGACGCATTCATACGGAACGCGATCTAACCCAAGAACCATTATTATGATAAACGTCGACAAGAGGCCCGACACCCACACCACCCTCGTGTGCCGTGCCGGCAGTAATAGGCGCTGCACTTGCTCTCCGTGGTCTGTTGATGCTACATGGGGGATCATTGTCTTTGTGTGTGCTGGTCTGCATCCAGACTATTTCGTGAAGAGGCGCTACGCGTGCGCGGAGAGTGGAGCGTGTGTGGAGAGCCCCACAAGTCAACAGCACTCGTCCAGCACACCTGAGCAGGTTTGCTTGAGCGGGGCAGACGCACACACAGTCGCCTCTTAACACTGTGGTTACTCATGCATTTATATGGACTTTATAATAAACTCACTGTGCTCTGAGCTGCTTCGACGGATGAGGAACGGCTAAACTGCACAAAGTCGTGGCCAGCAGCTAATGTCGACATTAGCGTTCAGCTTCTGATCGTATTATTTGTTATACGCTAGAAAGCGATAGAATGCATTTCGGACAGTGGTATCCTGGTGCTATAATAACGTCGCAGATACCAATAGTACGGATTCTTTGGTTTATTGGCGAATGAGAATAAAATCAACACGGATCACAGCAGACACGCCCCGGTTGTGGCCGCTACAGAGAAACAATTCCATTTTGGAAAACAGTAAATTACTCGGAGGTAGCTCTTGATATCCGCTTCCGTGGGTCGTTCCCAAACTGCGCTGAATGGATTCATCTCGTGACGCGACGTCACAATTAGGGTGACATTTGTGGGAGAAATACAAAACAAGTATTGCAAATAGACGCTTCTTAGAGTGGACTATGAACACCTGTGTGTGTGTCTTTGTGTCACCTGCAGGTTGGCCTGCACTCCTAACTCCGCACCTCGAAGAGGCCACGCGACTCCACGACAGCACGATCCCAGGATAATGATGGTCGGGCTGCCCCCAAGCCTTGCCCGACGAAACGACCGTGACAACCGACACTACAGCTTACACAACATAAACATGAAGCGACTTTGTGCGCAAATCCCGATTGTGTTTACTTACACTCGTACTTCAACAGCATGCACTTGGTCTTAGCCTTCACTAGGCCCTCAACAGTCTACAACTAGGCCTCCAACAATACGACAGGTCTACAAAAGTCTATGGCAGGCCCCCAAAAGCCTATACTTGGCCCCCAGCAGCCTACGATAGGTCTCCAAAGCCGACAATAGGCAACAATCTGCACTTGGACCCGTGCGAGAACTTGTGCCCACTGGGGCTGGGGATCGACCCTTTGTTTTGCTCGTGAATGTGTAACGCAAGATGTTACACACTAAAAAAAACAGCTCTTGTCTCGCGGCTGCACCCAAGTTGTTTCGAAAGTTCTTCATTGAGGAAGAAAAAGCTTAAAATTGATTTTTTGAAGTTACGATAGTGACAGCAAAATGTATGGCAGTCACTGCAGTGAGACCACAGTGATCTCACTGTGAGATCACTGTGGTCTCACTGTGAGATCACTGCAGATTTAGGTTGGCATGCCTAAAGGTCACTTTCAAAAATAATTCTCTCATTTAGGAAGCTTCAGACTTGTCGGACTTCCCAGAACAGACAGCTAGCGTGTATTGTGTTTTCCTTTTGAACAAATGCAAAGATTTGCAGTCGGTTACCTGGTCACGTTCGCTAGGTTGATTGAGTGTTTAATTGACAAAAAAAGTGTATTTAAAGTTATGGCATGGATACACATGCACGGTTCAAGTTTATTCTACTGACGGATGCAAATCGTAATTCAAATTGTGCTTAATATTACGCTATTTGATCTCTTGCTTCGCCACAATAACCCAGGGATTATCGACGTTATCTTTGTAACCATCCGTTGATTCGGCAAAGCTGAAATCCACGCTTGTTCTCGCGGTATACACGCGCTGAATCGCGTGCCTGTTCTGTGCAAGAATCGCTAACATATTAAGCGAATGTATAAAAAAATACTAATAGGCGTTTACCCTTTATGGCAATAAAAACAGGTGTTAAGGTGTTCAAACACCAAATAGAAACCTTTTGCAAGGAATCAAGTGATACTGGCAAAAAAAGGTCCCATTTTATCACGCGAATGATATACGGTACGTGTTGTGTTCACGAAGCGCCGAGGCGAACGGAACGCGAAAACAAGCTTCCAAACCAACGGATGAGAAACGACACAAACGGAACAAAAATATCGATTTGTTAATCGAACCGCGACCGTAAATCATCAAACGGCGAGAACAGTTGCCGCGCGACTCAAGTCTTTGAAACTTTCGCCGGAAGATTCGACCCAATTGTGAGACGCCTTCGACGTCACGGCGGTGGTGCTGCTCAAGCGGCGATCAATTGGCCACGTCTGTCCATCGTGCGACAATTGTATTTATTAACCGTGTGGGGTGGAGGAGGGTTTACGACACGCATTTGACTGAAGCGATGTGATGAGTCGTATAAATTATGAAGCTTCGAATGCGAGACGACGCTTGGCCATGTCTCTTGCTCACTGCCGTGAACTCCAGTGGCGCAGCGGCGATCGAGTGTGCAGGCCGGGGCGGCTGCCCAGGGCAGGACCAGGGCCTACTGCCATCCACACTGCTACTACGCCACTGGTAATTCTATAAGTTGCCCTGATTTTAAATATGTAAAATATATATCTATCCGCGAGTTACTTTAGTGATAAAGCATTTAACTTAAAACAAAAAGAGTACTTGAGGTGTAACACTATTTCCTGTACTGTAAATTTATATAGGTTTATGTTTGTGATCACACTGTCGATTTGTTTTTAAACGTATGGTTTACAATAAATATGCGTCGTATTGAATCCGGCACCGTCTGAGCAGCAGTGACTCGTTTGGCTGATTCGTGTGCGGGCGTGTGGCGCAAGAGAGGGTCGAGTGTGGGTGGGCTGGTGGGGTAGAGAGTGGGTGTTATACACGCCTGCTCATCAAGGATGTGGAGCCATCGCTGCACCATGCTCGCTCAGCTGCCGAGAAGAGGGTACGGAAGGTGCATTCGAAATCAGTGGGGCGTCTGTAAGTGGATCACCCTGCATTAAAACTGTTCATCCTTGCGAAAGGCTCATGGTCCACCCTAAGCGTCATCCACCGCACAAACCGCGGTAGCAGATGCGGGTCCCTGACGATGTACAAACGGAGCAGTTCAAAACTCTCCAGTCGTGGTGCGGCTGTGGTCATCTAGCACAGAGACCGCGCGACATCTAACGACGCCTGATCCGCCGCCTCGTCTTGCCGTCACGTGCTCCCCCCCTCGAGCTCCACTCGATTTGTCTTCACGGCCACTGCGACGTCCCCAGCGTGCGTGCTCTCGTCCACGTGGCCCTCCTCCTCCTGCCGATCGGCTTCTTCGTTGCAAGGAGGCGCCTCTCTCTCTCGTGCTTGTTGTCGCAATTTTTCATCTTTTGTTAAATTTTCTTTGTCCCAACATTAATTGACCGAACATTCCAGACGACTTGTCAGCGTTTCAATAATTTGAGTACGTGCAGTTTCATGCGACCAAATCACCCGCAATGCGACCCATTTTGCTTCTGTCTCGGGAGCTAAGCACGGCTTGAGCCTATGTGAGCACTTGCATAGGAGACTGCCGGGGAACAGCAGGGGTCGTCGCCTCCGGCTACGAGGTGACCAGGAGATGGCAGTGACGCCGTAGATTCCTCAATACATCTGTGCTGGGTTTTCACCGGAGTTCTCTGGTTTCCTTCCACACGAAGCCAGACACTTCACGGGAATTCACGGCCAAACACCCCAATGCAGCAGCACTCTCCTGCAAACTAGTCTTGGGACTCAGTGCGACTCTACTGGGCTAACGGAATGCATTGCCGTAACTTCCAGTGTCGGGGGATATCCTATGTCTGTACGCAGCTATGTAGGCACGACAGACAGAGTCTGGTTTGTGAGCCTCGGGCTACAAGCGAGAGGTTGCAAACACAGCGGTGGTGAATGACCCATTGTGCTGCTGCTGATGATGCCGGTCAAAGGTCAATCGCCGCGGCACACCCACAGGTGGCCTCCTGCTCTGCATGCTACACCTCGCCGATGAGCGTCAACATACGTGAACCCAACATGTCCGTTAAGTCTGCCAATAGATCGACGGATTCACACACTATTTGTTGGACGTTGCATATTTATATATTTGTTATGTTAAGGTCACTGTGCTATTGACGATTGTTGAGTCTATTTAGGTGCTGTTACAAAGTGAGTGCGTTGTATACGGGGAGCCAGATGTACGAATGTACATCGCAAGATCGTGAGAACTGGCGGCGGCTAGAAGAGGCCTTCATTCAGCAGTGGATGGACCATGGCTGATTATGGGCAGGCGGTTGTTAGGGCTGGAGTGGTGGCGCAGTGATTAGCGCACTGTGCACCAAACGCCGCGATTCTTATCTATACCCGTCCCGAATCTTCTCTAGGTCGACTCAGCCATAAATTAGTACATGGCTTGGTTCAGGTGTGTTAATTATCAGTACTGTGGGAGACAAAGGCGGTCGGGCGTGGTTCTGGCTGGCCACCCGGGGTGCTGGCTGACCACCCATCCCGACCGTCGGTTAAAGGCTACATTGGAGATATTTTTTATTGGCTAAATTACTCCAGTATTATCAGCCGCATGGCATACACCGCGTTCCCAGCAAACTTTGAGCCAACGTTGGCATGTTTACTGGGCATAGTTGTGCAATCACTGAGCCGAACGCGTGAACGTTAACCTGTGGGATGAGTGAGCGAGCGTGCCAATGGGAATGGGTGTGGATAAACAGTCAATCCACGGGATGGATGCGATAGATAGGGGGAGGGGGCGGGGCTGTGGGGGTGTGGGGGGGGGACAGGAGGCGGGGTATCTGAGCCTCTCGTTTCCCCGAGGTCGTTGGGGACGACACAAAGCCAAGGTTTTTTTTCTGGGATTGGGAGCCCCTCCCCACATCTCCCCACGTATCCCCACCTCCGCTTGCTCCTCTCACTCCCCGTTACGGGGCCGGGTGGCGTGGGAGTGGTTGAGGAAGGGTGATAATTATTACCTACAAGCACACACGCGCATTTCCTGCTGAGTCGACTCAAGAGAGGGACTAATCACTACGCCACCGCTCCCCACCCACATATCAAGATCAATACCCACCGTCATAGTCCTAACAGATTGTTGGGGAAAGTGCTGGGAGCGAGACCCTATGAAGATCGCCACGGCACACGAAGACATGGGTTGGGACTGCCCGGCCGCCTTTAGTCTCCCCAGTGCTGAGGTACTCATTGAAGGCTGAGTCGAGCTCGGGAGAAGTCCATGACCGGTTCAATTATTCGCTGCTGTTATTTGCTGTGAGCTGGAATCGAATTGGACTCACACGACATATACGTGATAGGCGACGTTGCGTGCAATGGCGCTGCTTCGTCGCAATTACAAAGACAACCGAACATTGGCATCAAGTCCACCGAGGCAGCCACTCGCCGGCCGGCTCGCAAGAGACTCGTCAACCCGAGCGAGCGTCAGGCGGCGAGCGTCAGCCCCTCGCGTCAGCCCCGTGCGGGGCTGCGTGCGACGGCGTGACCCACCCCGCAACCCCCATCCCTCCCTCGCCCCCTCGCCCCCTACTTGCAAGCCCGGGCCTGCCCCTCGCTGCGCCTGCGGGGTGCTGGGGGTTCGTCTCTCTCTCAATGTCGTGGCCGCTCATGGGGTTCGTGCGTGTTGTGATGGGACGAGCTGGTAGCGGAGCGGGGAGCGCGCCGCGCTACGGAGCCCACGAGCCGAGTTCGATTCTCGATCACGGCCAACACCGGTGACGATTATCTGAGCGATCCTGGACCTCCCCTAGGTCGACTCAGCCTCATATGAGTATCTGTTGCGCTGTGTAAACATCGCCACTCGGGAGACAAAGGCGGCCGCCGGGCGTGGTGCTGGCCACCTACCCCCTCATAGGTGCTCGCTAACAGCACTTGCCCCAACAGTCTGTTAAGGCTAGACGGGGGATCTTTGACTTTGACATGCACAACCCTTAAAGTGTCATTTCACCTCGCACCTCATCACGGCATCGCGTCGCAGCCACAGACTAATCGCTGCGTCGTGTTTTGCTGTTTGTGCCTTCTGCTTTGGGTGCCACGTCTCCATTTACTTAACTTTTCTCAGAGTTTTCATTTGCTTGGGAGTAGCTAGAAACATAGCATTTTACCCTCACATGCAATTATTAATGTGACTCGTTACGCGCGACGCAATTGCCATGTATGACGCTGTACACAATTAAATTAAGATTATTATCATCACCACCTCATCACTCCCCCGGCAACTTCTCACCAACCCTTCACACCTCTGTATTCCCAACACCCCCCGCCGCCCCCTCCTCTTGGTGGCCGTGGGGACGGAGCAGAGCGGAGATCCACAATCGCCTCTCACGGAGCGCTCTCCCCTGGCCCCCGGATCTGTGCCCACCTCTCGCTCTCTCTCCTCCTCCAACGCGGGCGGTGCTGACGTCAGCGCAGTGTGCCCGGGCGTGCCGCGGCACGGCGCCGCACCGCCCGCGTCTCGCGCGCTGTCCACCGCTCGACTCAACATCGTCGGCTTGAAGGCGCTGCGAGACACCGCCACTCGGAACAACGCAGCGCGTCTGATGTTCCACGTACAGAATGCAGTACTTGGTGTTGTTTATGCCGTGCGGCCGATGGGATGCGTCAACAAAGATGATATTGAAGGAGTGTTTTACACTTTCATGCCATCGGTAACACTGCATTTATGTCTGGGAGTGCATCAGAATGTACCGTCATCGTAATCATCAGCATTGATTTAGTACAGTATACAAGCAAAGTCGAACTTGACGCGTTTCAACATTCAGTGTCTCATCATCAGTCGTCTGGCTTGCTTGATGGACCAAACAATGTGTTTAGATGCAGTGTGGAGTTCTGCACTCAGCATTACTAACCAATACAGCTCCACGACGATTGAGGTTGTGTTCAGCAGTATATTGCCTGCCTGCCAAGCCTGGCTCTGCTGATGAGACTCAGGCCGTCGAATCATATCCAGTTCCCTTGCTTAAATAGATGCCGCTGCTGGGTAATATGAATATGTAAAGTTTACTTGCTACAAACTCGACCTTCTGGGTGTCACCAGCAGAGTCGGGCGTGCTCAACAAACGGTGGTGGAAAATATCTCGGGGTCTGGAAAGTGTGGAGACAGGGGCTGTGGTTCTGGATGTGTGGAGACACAGGGGCTGTGGTTCTGGATGTGTGTGGAGACAGGGGCTGTGGTTCTGGTTGTGTGTGTGTATCGGTACGGCAGTGAGAGTGAAGAGCAATACCACTGATAGACGGAAGTTATCCAAGTGGTTTACTCGGCAAAGGCATAAAGGCAGTGTCGACTGGTGGTAAAATTGTTACTGCCGACACCATCGCAAGGATTAGAACAGAGGCTCGTTAAAATAACAACTCGCACGAAGTTGTCAATCCACTGCTGGATGAATGCTTTTGACGCTGCCGTATCAGTCACGGAGATTGTTTGACCATACTTCACCACGTTGGTCAGTGCGAGTTACTTTACTACATTTGCCTTGAAAATCCTACCGATAGGGCGGAAAGCTGTTCCGATACCACTCGCCACTGACGGTAGCCGTGGTTCCGGACCGAGGTCAGGCCGCCGGGTTCGGATGCGCAGTGCGCCCACCGCAGCGCCACCGCTCCATCTCATAACGATAAATCGCAATGTAAAAGTCTGAAGGATGACTTATTGATCCAGGAGAGTCGCGTCGAGTCTCGAGACTCGTTTTGCGGCAGGCTGCTGCTACGTTGGGGTGTTTGGCAGTGAATTCCCAGTGAAGTGTCTGGCTTCGTGTGGGAGGAAACCAGAGAACCTCGGTGAAAACCCAGCACAGATGGATAGAGGAATCTACGGCGTCACTGCCATCTCCTGGTCACCTCGCAGCCGGAGGCGACGACCCCTGCTGTTCCCCGGCAGTCTCCCATCCTAGTGCTAACCAGGCTCAAGCCGTGCTTAGCTCCCGAGACACAAGCGAAATGTGGGGCATTCCGGGTGACTTGGTCGCATTAAACTGCACGTACTCAAATAATTGAAACGCTGACAAGTCGTCTGGAATGTTCGGCCAATTAATGCTGGGACAAAGACATTTTTTAACAAAAGATGAAAAATTGCGACAACAAGCACGAGAGAGAGAGAGAGAGAAAGGCGCCTCCTTGCAACGAAGAAGCCGAGAGGCAGCAGGAGGAGGGCCACGTGGACGAGAGCACGCACGCTGGGGACGTCGCAGTGGCCGTGAAGACAAATCGAGTTGGGGGCCCACGTGACGGCGAGTACGAGGCGGCGGCCGTCATCCGAACGGGACTGTGCGCCTGCGGAGATGGAGCTACGGAATCATCCGGCGTGAAGACTGTGTGACACAGGTGACACTGATCCGCCGTCTGTGAAAAAAAAACAGCGTCACAGCTCATCGGATTGCCGAGGTCTCAATGAAGACCGCGACTCTAAAGATGTTGATTCGCCAACCGTCGCCATCCGCTTGAAGTCCCCACGTTCACGAGCTGCCAACAGGACGCAGCATTCCTGCAGAGAGCTTCAAACGGCGACGAGGGCGCTCGCACCTTTACCCACCCCATCATTCATCCCACACATCACGATGTGTGTGGGGGGGGGGGGGGGTAGTGGCTGCCAAGTTGAAAGCGCACGGACTCCCGCCGCCCCCCCACCCTGAGCGGCACCCATCAGGGGTCCTCAGTGTGGTGGAGTGCCCCTTGGCGAGCTGGGGAGGCCTCTCCACCGTGAGGATGAAACGGCCGTGTGCTCGAGACGGATTCTCACCTGTGCGCGTGTGGCCACACGGGAAGAGGTCGCGTAGCTCGCAAGGTCACCGATTGATGTTTACTCCTTCAGACCACGACAGCGCACGCGGTGTCGTCGTTGTTGTTGTTGACGAACGTGCTGAGCTGTGTTGTTTGTGTGTTGACTGTGTTGTTGCCTGTGTTGTTGTGTTTGTGCATCACCACGGCCAACGCAGTCGGCAGCAGCAGTAGCGTCACCAAATAATGTGGAAAACTAAAACGTTTTCCACATTCCCTAGTTTCAGTAGCATCGCTTTAAAAGAAGAAAACAATGGGCCGGTTTCGACATTCGCTGTCTCATCAGCAGCCGATTGTCATGTTGATATCAAGGACCCTGTCTGTTCTTCACGAGTCCCAACTGAGCGCTGCCATTCAAGGGTAACGCCGGCGGATTAGCGCCCCTTAGTGGCTGCCGTAGGCATCAACTCTTTAAATTATCCTGAAAAACCAGGTCGGGTGGCAACCCGATCGGCCACCCACTTCCCCTTTCATCCACTCTCTCACCCATCTATTCACGCACTCACCTACACACGCACCCACTCATTCATACACACTCACCCACCCAATCACCCAATCACGTACCCACTCATTCACTCATTCACCAACTCATTCACCCATCCATATACTCACCCATCCACCCACTCATTCACTTACCCACCCACTCACCCACCTACCAACTCACCCAGCCACACTCATCTACCAAACCACTCACCCACCCATCACAAACAAAGATCCCCCGTATAGCCTTAACAGACTGTAGGAGTAAGTGCCGTTAGCGAGCGCCTATAAAGGCCGGCACGGCACACGAGGGGTGGGTGGCCAATACCACGCCCGGTCGCCTTTGTCTCCCTAGTGGCACGATGTTTACACACCGCACCAGGTACTCATTTGAGGTTGAGTCGACCTAGGAAAGGCCCAGAACCGGTTCAGATAATCGTCACTGGTTTTGGCCGTGAGCGGGAATCGAACCCTGGTCGCCAGGTTCGTAGCGCAGCGCGCTAACCGCGACACTACCGCTCCCCACAAAACACTCACTCACCTACCCACTCACTCACCTACCCACTCACTCAACCAGCCACTCACCCACCTATCCACGCACTCGCCACTCACCGACACACCGACCTATTAACTTATCCACCCACTTTTCCACCCAGCAGATGGCGCTGCAAGCAAGGACACGAGATGGGTGACGAAACTCGGGGATCTCGCGGGTCGCTGCCGCAACACGAGGACACAGGCGATGTGGTTGTGGTCGAGGCTGCTGTGCTGTGGTTAATGCGGGTAATGTTGTAGTTGACGCACCAGTGCAATCGTCGTCATAGATCCACGTTCATTATTTCTGTAGCTTGATTTTGAAAAGAAAATTTGCCTGAGCCAACTTTCGTTCCATGTAAATGTGTGCATTGTTTTAAATTTCTGCTGTAACGTGGTGGCTTTTGCACCGATTGCTCTTTGGTTGTTTGCTGTTTTTCGCACTGCTTTGCCTTCAGCTCCGATTTCTCCTCGACTTGCCTCTGCTCCGATGTCGACTTGCACCACTGCGATGCCAGTCTGTGTGCTGGCTGCGTGATGTTTGAAATTTGTGGTTCCCACCTCCCCCCCACCGCTCTCCTCCTCCGTCCCGACGAAGGGGTCGCCCTATTCGTTTTCAGATTCGATGCGGCGGTCGTCGGTTGTCAACCACAAAGCGACGGACGGCCCCCGGCAACTCCCACCGGCGCTCACACACACTCACACTGCACACACTAGCACACACGAAGTGACGCGCCAAGCGAAACGATGTTAGTTTTTTATTTAAATAAACTTTCGGATGAATTCAACAGCGCTTCGTATCAAAAAGTTTTCCTGTGGCGAGCGAACCACGGACGACAGCCGCCTGGGGGGGGAGAGGGGGTTGCAGCGTCGTCGTCCCCTTAGCGGGAGAGTTGTGCAAAGTGACACGAGTCAAACAATACTGAGAACAGGGAGGGGGGTTTGGGGGCTCAGGGAGCTCAGCGGCGACACCGGGCGCAGGGAAAAGTGCCACGGGGTTCATTCAATCCTGAGCGACCTGTGGAGGAGGTGGGGGGGGCGGAGCCAGGACGACCCCGAGGTCGGAGGTCACATCCAGATCGGAGGTCACATTTCAGGTCGGAGGTCAGCGTGGCAGCAGCTTGAGGGGGAAGTTGACGATGTTTCCTGGCGAGGAGAGGGAGGGAGGGAGGAAGGTTCACAGCGTCCCTTCACAAACTCTGGCTTCAAGCACGTGGAACATTTATTCGATTCAAGGAATGCGTTTGGGAAATTGATGGTCAAGTCAAAGTGGTTTCCTGCTCACGTGACGTACTCGGGCATTGGTGCTTCTGGGCCGGTGGTGGAATTCCACATTCTTATGGCGAGGACGACCGCGGAAAGATAATGGGCCAAACCTGGAGTTGAACTCATGACCTTCCAAATGTGACACCGGGAAGGACGATCGCAACTAAGGGGAGTCATTCATTGCGCAGTGGATAGAGCGTGGCCACAGCTGCTGCTGCTGACGACGACGATGATGCTGCTGATGGTGATGACAATGAGGCTGATGATGATTGTGATGATGATGATGACGCTGATAATTATGGTAATGATGGTGACGATGATGATAAGGGTGATGGTGATAATGATCATAAGGGTGATGGTGATGATGATGACGCTAATGGTGATGCTGCTGATTATGATGGTTTCGATGGTGAAGGTGACTGTGACGGTGACTGTGATGGTGACTGTGACGGTGACTGTGACGGTGACTGTGACGGTGATAGCGACGATGATGGTAACGATGCTGCGCTGCTCGGCGTTCTCACCGAGACTGCGCAGGAACTTGTTGACGCCGCTCTCGGCCTCAGCGTCGGCCGCCACCTCCTCCAGGAAGGGAATGACGCGCGCGTCAAACAAGTCTGCGGATGCACAAAGACACAGATCCCCCGTGTAGCCTTAACACACTGTCGGGGAAAGTGCTGTTAGCGAGCACCTATGAAGGCCGGCACGGCACACGAGAGGGTTGGTGGCCAACACCACGCCCGGCCGCCTTTGTCTCCCCAGTGGCGATGTTAACTCCACACCGCACCAGGTACTCATTTGAGGCTGAGTTGACCTTGGAGAGGTCCAGGACCGGTTCAGACAATCTTCACCGGTGTTGGCCGTGAGCGGGAATCGAAGTCGGGGTCGCCGGGTTCATAGCGCAGCACAGCTAACCGCTGCGCCACCGCTCTCCCCACTCTCACACACGTTGACGTACACACACGTACACACACATAACACCACATACACACACACACACTCCCCCCACGCGGCGCACTCACCCCGGGCCCCGCGCTGGCGCTGCGCTCGCTCCTGCACGAAGCAGGAGAACATCTGCGTGTGCGTGAAGAGCTCCAGGAAGCGGCGGTGCGTCTTGGAGGCGGCCTGCCCGGACAAAGTCCTCCCTGCGGAACGAGGAGAACGACGACGGCGACGAGGTGGAGGTGGAGGAGGTGACGACCGACGGAGGAGCCATGAAGAGGGGCAGGTGGCCCACGGCCTCCACGAAGAAGCGGATGAACACCTCGGAGACGAGCGAGTTCTGGGACACGCCTGCCACGCGCGCACACACTACGGACAAGGGCCCCCCCCCCCCCGTGCCGGTTATTGGGGCAAGTGCTCTTAGCGAGCCCGTGCGAAGGTCAGCACGGCACACGCGTGGGCGAGTGGCCAGCACCGCGCTCGGCTGCCTTTGTCTTCCCAGCCATGATGTTCACACACCGCCGCGGGACACTCACTCGAGTCGATCTCGGAGAGGCCTCGGACGATCGTCACCGGCGTTGGCCGTGAACGGGAATCGAACTCGGGTCGCCGCTCCACTACCGCTACCCACACCCCCTCGCCCGCTCACCCACCTCGCCCGCTCACCCACCTCGCCCGCTCACCCACCTCGCCCGCTCACCCACCTCGCCCGCTCACCCCCCTCACCCGCTCACCCCCTCGAGTTGCCCCCTGTCTGCTTGCACTCTGTGGAGAAGACGCGGCCGCCCCAAGCGACCGGCGGAAGAGGAGGTCGAGGGGGAGAAGGGGGAGGAGAAGGAGGGCGGCGGGGGCAGTTCGTACCGGGGCCTCCCAGGTCGAGCCGTGCCTCGAGTGCGGCCTGCAGTGCGGCCTGCAGCTTGGGCGGGAGGATGGCGTCTTCGTCGTCCACCTGGCACACACGGAGGACGCGTCACCGGGACGGCCGCGTCGCCGGCCTGGACGGGGCCGTGCGGCCTGCGGGGGCCGTACGGCCTGCGGGGGCTGCCCCCGCCGAGTCTCGAGCCCGAGGCTCCTCGCGTTACCACCCCCCTTGGCCTCGTCCGCGACTCCCGACCATCGACGGCGGCGGCGTGAGGGGCGCTGATCCACCCCCCCCACCCACGTATATTATCAGCTCGGCCAGTCGGTGAACTCACTCCATCTAGCCACGTGAGTGGACCTCCTCCGTCTACCGAGCGGTGAGGTGACGTCGCCCCGCGACTTCATTCAGACGCCTCGTCTCGTCACGGTCACGCGCTTTGGTGTCTGGTGGTGATGGCGGCGGAGATGGTGGTGATGGTGGTGGTGATGGTGGTGATGGTCATAGGTTCAGCGTTGCAAAGCGTAAAACAGCTACGCAGACAGAAAGCATAAAGGCACACTCACACACGCACGCAATCACTCGCACACGTACTCACTCGTACTAACACATGCATGCACTCACACATCCATGCACTCATACACACGCACGCACTCACTCACTCGCACACGCACAAACTAACACACACACTAAGACACACACTCACACATGCACGCACTCACCTGCCGGATGAACTGGTTCGATCCCAGGTCCACAACCAACACCTGAGGTAGACAGAATCGCGCCGTTACGGACGGAGTGGAGGCCCAGGACCGGTTCTGATAACCGCCACTGGCCGTAAGCGGGAATCGTACGCGGGTGGCCGGGTTCGCCGCGCGGCGCACTAACTACCGCACCACCGCTTCCCACACAAAGACAAAGCCCCCCCGTGTAGCCTTAACAGACTGTTGGGGCGAGTGCTGCTAGCGAGCACCTATGAAGGCCGGGACGGTACACGAGGCGGTGGGTGGCCGGCACCACGCCCGGCCACCTTTGTCTCCCGAGTGGCGACGTTTACTACACACCGCACGAGCTACTCATTTGAGGCCGAGTCGACCTAGGGGAGGAGGCCCAGGGCCGGTTCAGACAATCGTCACCGGTGTTGGCTGCGAGCGGGAATCGATCTCGGGTCGCCGGGTTCCGTCGCGAGGTGCGTGCACGCACCTCCTCCATGGGCAGGTCGTGGGTGCGGGGCAGCGTGCTGGAGAGCAGCCCCACCACGAAGGGCGTGGGCGAGCACACGATGTCCACCATGTGGGCGGGCAGCACCGGCACGTAGGTGTGCTGCCACGCAAACGGGTAGAGCAGCGCGAGCGCCGCGTGGCAGCACTTGGACAGCACGCTGCGCGGGGGGGGGGGGGGGGGGGCCGACGGCACCAGCGGCACCAGCAGCAGAAATATGAGCAGCAGTAGCGGCAGCAGAAGCAGCAGGAATAGGAGCAGTAGCAACGGCGGTACCAGCAGTAGAAAGTAGTAGTAGCAGCCGATATTAATAACAGTCGTAGCAGCAGTAGTAGTAGCAGCAGCAGCAGCCAATATTAATAGCAACAGTAGTAGCACCAGCATGAAAAGAAGTAGCAGTAGCAGCCGTAACGGTAGTAAGAGTAGCAGCAGCAGTAGTTGCAGGTAGTAATATGAGCAGTAATAGCAGCAGCGGTAGCAGTAATACGAGCAGAAGCAGCAGTAGCAGTTGCAGCAGTAGCATTGGCAGTGATAATAGCAGCAGTAGTAAAAACAACAGCAAACACAGGCACAACCAACGTTACCATGAGCACCACCACCACCATCATCATCAACGATACAACACTCACGGTGCCACACTCGGCCAGGCAGTGGTGGCGACGCTGCTCGTGGCCTGCACCCCAACACGTGGTGTGGCAGCAGCAGCAGCAGCAGCAGCGAGGGGCACCGGAGAGGTGTCGTACCCCGGCTCGCCAGGAGAAGGCGGCAGAGCAAAGTGGCCTAATCCCCATCTGTACGGGGATAGAGGGTTGCCCCCTCGCACACGTGGATTTTCTCGGAATTCTTCGGTTTCCTCCCGCATAATTAACACTCATCTATTGTCCGTTCGTAACAGAGAGAGGGGGCAGCTGCTGCCCCCTCCCAGCTCGTCTGCGGTTCCTCCCCCTGGCGCCTCCGAGTCGTCCTCCGGGTCTCCCCAAGAGCGAGCGGCGGACACCGCCAGGCGACGGCGTAGCCAAGCGAGTCGAAATTATAATAATAGTTTACATCTGTAAAGTGCCGCGTTTCATCCGTAGATTTAACGGGGCGGCCAGGCAGAGCCAAACCGTACAAAAATGTATTACAAAAACGTTATAAAAAGAATAATAATATAAAAATTGAATGCGTATAAAAAATAAATACGCGACAATGACAAAACATTTCAAGAAATGTTAATATTTTTAAAAAGACGATAAAAAATGGAAAGAAAATCATTACTTCAACTAACAATAACGCCCAGCCCCCCGACCGAGTTGATCTGGCGTCACCTGAGCCTGTCGGCCGTGAAGATGACGCGCCTCTCAAGCAGCAGCGCGGCGAAGGTGCGCACGAGCGTGCGCGGGCCCAGGCAGCCCAGCAGGCAGGCCGCCTCCACGTGCTCCAGGCGCGAGTCGGCCGGCCGCCGCAGGGTCAGCCGGCGGCGCCCGACGCCCGGCAGGAAGGTGCTGAGCACCAGCGCGGCGCCCGGCGCCGGGGGCGCTCGCCGGTGCTCCCACAGGCTCGTGAGGAACGGCGAGAGCAGAGCGGGTGACACGGCCCTCCGGCGCTCCACCTCGTCCAGGATCTGCACGGAGACGGTGACGGCGATGATATTGACGATGATAATGACGATGATAATGACGATGATAATGACGACGACGATCGTGACGATGATCGTAACGATGATGGAGATGATGACGACGGCGATCGTGACGACGATGGTAATGATGACGGTTTTGATCGTGGTTAATGAATGCGTTGTGTGTGAATTGTATCGTTATTGTGCTTACACGTGTTTACCCAGGAAAGCCTCACTGAGTCACGTGACTCATTTTCAGGAGGGTCCCGCCAGATTATCAGCAGGGATGGGGGGGGGGGGGCGATGATTGCTGTTCCTGTGTGTCTGCACGTGTGAAGAGGGTATTTGGCCTACTCTTCCACGCTGGCCAGACGTCTTGGGAGAGATGGGAGTGCCCACACTATACCTCACCACACACGACCAGCCGATCGGCAAACTGTGATTGTGCCCGTTCACACGGCTGGGCAGACAGGGGCGAGGGTGGGGTGGGGGGGGTGAGGGAGGGGGTCCCTGGGTAGTGCACGCGCTGCGTCCGTGACGGACGTGCGGCCGTAGCGAGGTCACCTGGGAGAAGAGAGCGAAGCAGCCGAGGTGAGAGACGATGCAGTAGACCTGCCGCACCGGGGGGCCCGCGCCCCCCACCTACAAACGCGCGGGGGAAGGGGGGGGCGGCACGTCAACCAATCGGCAAGCCAGACGTCCCATTGTCAGCTTCTCACATCAATTACCGCAACTGCATCAACCACAACAACCGTGTCAATCACAAGAACTGCGGCTTACTTCAATAGCTTTTAAAATTTCAACAAAAACCACGGCCGCCACTTGGACCGCCAGCAGCATGGACGCCGAGGGATTGAGCGACGGGGCGGCCCGAGGCCTCAGTGACGTGACCTCGGAGGTAGTTCTGTGTCATCCCCTTCAGGGGGCCGTACTCCGACATGGGGTGGTGCACCGCTCGCTCCAATGGGAATCAGGTTTGGTTTACAAATCAAAACAGGACGAGAATAAAAACCGAGCGACGAGTGTGTGGCCGTGTCCCTGCGGCCTGGCGGCAATAACCTCTGGCCCCCTTTGAACCCCGACGGGGTAGCGGTGGGGTGGGGGATCAGGATTACACTCACATGTGTACACACAAAGACAAAGAACCCCTGTATCGCCTTAACAGACTGGTGTGGCAAGTGCTGTTAGCGAGCACACGACGGGGTGGGTGGCCAGCACCACGCCCCACCGGCCGCCTGTCTCCCCAGTGGCGATGTTTACACACCGCACCGGGTACTCATTTGAGGCTGAGTCGACTAAGGGGCAGGCCCAGGACCGGTTCAGATAATCGTCACCGGTGTTGGCTGTGAGCGGGAATCGAACTCGGGTCGCCGGGTTCGTCGTGCAGAGCGCCGCGCACAGCCACGCGACGCGACTCTCGATAACCAGCAGCACGTGTGGGACTGAGCCTGACGCTGCCGATGAGACCCAGGAGGTCGAGGAAGCCCACAGTTTGCGTGCTTCAACGAATGCCGACGGACACCAAGGGTACGGGGAGTCCGGAGGCTGATGGACGAAGCCACGCTCGCCTTCCTCCGCGGAGACGCAGGAGGGAGTTCTGTTTGCGCTGCACGTGTGGCTGCTGCCTTCATGCAACGCGGGCGAGCGCATCGGTAATAATCCATGGCCCCCCTCTGAATCCCCATGGGGTAGGGGGAGAGGGGGAGGGGGTGAGGGCAGGGGTGGGATTTCCACATTCCACTGCCACGTGTGCGAGCCTGGCGCTCGCACGTTACATCAACAACGTCGCGCCACGATACCACGCCATCACCGCGCCACATCGAGCCCTCTCCTGTCTCAACATTCATCACACGGAGTCCCACACATTCACACACTCGCACACGGTGACCCACACACACGGAGACCCACAGATCTATCGGTAGGTATTCCACACATCTGGCCTTTGACCTCCTCTACCCCGCAACCGCTGGACCTGCCTCTGCAATTCCGCGTGCTCCCCCATCCTGCACCCACGTGTCTCACGAGACCTCACGAACCCATCCGTGCGAACCTCTCGGCATTATCCCTCCCATCTTCGTCGCTGGTTTCCACTCACCAGCACTCGCCGGCAGTAGCCAAATCGTCGCGTTCCGTTTTCGCTCGTGAGCACGAAGGAGAAGGTCTCACTGCTCGCGCACGGGACAAAAGACAAAGATCCCCCGTGTAGCCTTAACAGACTGTTGGGGCAAGTGCTGTTAGCGAGGAGCAGTGCCTGCAAAGGCCGATGCGGCACACGAGGGGGTGGGTGGCCAGCACCACGCCCGGCTGGCTGCATTTGTCTCCCCAGTGGCGATGTGCACACACCGTACTATCAGGAACTCATTTGAGGCGGAGTTGGCCGACGGGAGGCCCAGGACCGGTTCATATAATCGCCACTGGTGTGACGCACACGCGCACAGCTGCGAGGGGCCCTGACCTCTGGATCTTGTCGCTGGTGGGTGTGAAGGCATTGGGGTCGTCGGCGTCGGGGAAGCAGAAGTGCGGGATGGCCGTGAGCAGCGCCTCCATCTCCCGGCCTTCCTTGCTCAGCTTGTCGGCCTAGAGACACAGACCCACGCAGAGACCCATAGACTATCATAGAGACCCCCAAAAACTCACGAAGAGATCCATAGACTCACACAGACTCTTGAGACTCACACAGAGACCCATAGACCTAAACAGATACCCATAGACCCACAAGGAGACTCACAGACCCACACAGAGGCCCATAGACCCATATAGAGACTCAAAGACCCGCACGGAGACCCCGGCCGTTGGAGGGACCGGGCTCGTGAGCCGTGGCCGCACCTTGGGGAAGATCTGGGTGATGCGGGGGGTGGACGCCGGGGGCTCCTCGTCGGCCAGGCCCCCGCGCCCCCGCCCCATCGTCACGACGACGAACAGCTCGAGCAGGGCGTGGGGGCCGCGGAGGGTGGCAGCCCCCCCAGCCGCCAGGGGCTGCTGCGCCGCGTGGCGCTGAGACGCCTGCTTCACCGACTGCACGTGGGACAGGTGGCGCCTGTACACTGGGGGGCGGCAGGGGGGAGGAAGACAAAGATCCCCCGAATAGCATTAACAGAGTGTCGGGGCAAGTGCTGTTAGCGAGGAGCGCCGATGAAGGGCGGCACGGCGCACGAGGGTGGGCCGCTCCTGGCCACCTTTGTTTCCCCAGCGCCGATGTTTACAAGCGCTGCGACAGGGACTCGTGTCGACTCAGAGGCGGGGTGCTGGTGAGCAGGCGTGACCTCTTACCTTTCTTCCGCTCCTCCGTGTCGCTCTCGCTGTCCGAGTTGTCGTCTGTAATGAGGGGTGAGGGTGGGGGGGGAGAGGTTAGTCCGGGTGTTGCGTCGACCCTGTGGGCGAGCGATTGGGGTAACTCGTGACCGCGTGAGCGAGCGGCGGGGTGAGCGAGCGGTGGGGTGAGCGAGCGGCGGGGTGAGCGAGCGGCGGGGTGAGCGAGCGGTGGGGTGAGCGAGTGACCGCGTGAGCGAGTGACGGGGTGAGTGGGCGACGGGGTGAGCGAGTGACCGCGTGAGCGAGCGACGGGGTGAGCGAGCGGTGGGGTGAGCGAGCGGCGGGGTGAGCGAGCGGCGGGGTGAGCGAGCGACCGGGTGAGCGAGCGACGGGGCGAGTGAGCGGCCGAGCCCCCAGGCACGCCTCACCCTTCGTGGCGGCCGCCGCCGTGGCGCTGTCAGGGTTGGGCGGCAGGTTTCTCTTGAAGCGCTTCTTGCCGAACTTGGCGGTGAAGATGGCGTTGATCTTGCGCACGTGCTGGCGACGCGGGGAGAGAGGGAGAGAATGAGAGAGAGACAAAGAGGGAGAGAGAGCGAGAGGGGGAGAGGGAGGAGCCTCGCATTGCACGCTCCCACAATGCAGTGCCATTATCTCCTCCATACAACGCGTGGCTCGTTGTGAATCCACCGCTGGATGGAGGCCATCGTTTGCCAGGCGGGTCAGCGTGGGTTGTTCAAGGCGGGGAGTGTGCTGCTCCACGGCCCAGTCACGGGGCAAAGCGCCGACCTCACCAGCACTTTCAAGCCAAGCAGAACCGAGCCTGCTTCAACGTTGTTATCATTATTAAGCCATCCGTGCCGTGCTGTAAGAAAGTGCAGGTCATTCCCCTCTCATCTCGCTCCACTCCCCTCCACACACTCTCCTACCTCTCCCCTCTCATCTCGCTCCACTCCCCTCCACACACTCTCCTACCTCTCCCCTCTCATCTCGCTCCACTCCCCTCCACACACTCTCCTACCTCTCCCCTCTCATCTCACTCTACTCCCCTCCACACACTCTCCTACCTCTCCCCACTCATCTCACTCCACTCCCCTCCACACACTCTCCTACCTCTCCCCTCTCATCTCACTCTACTCCCCTCCACGCACTCTCCTACCCCTCCCCTCTCATCTCACTCTACTCCCCTCCACGCACTCTCCTACCCCTCTCCTCTCATCTCACTCTACTCCCCTCCACCCACTCTCCTACCCCTCCCCTCTCATCTCACTCTACTCCCCTCCACGCACTCTCCTGCCTCTCATCTCGCTCTACTCCCCTCCACGCACTCTCCTACCCTCTCCCCTCTCCCTCCCCTCTCATCTCACTCTACTCCCCTCCACGCACTCTCCTGCCTCTCATCTCGCTCTACTCCCCTCCACGCACTCTCCTACCTCTCCCCTCTCATCTCACTCCACTCCCCTCCACGCACTCTCCTACCTCTCCCCTCTCATCTCACTCCACTCCCCTCCACGCTCTCTCTCCACGATGGCAAACCGAGGCTCTGTGTCCCAAGTTCCCAGTCAACCTCCTCTTAGTGGGAGGTCGCTCGCCCCCCTGTGCTGCCCCCACAGTCTGGACCTCCCTCCCCCCAGCCGCCCACGCTGCCGGCTCCCTGCTGCCCAGCGAGTCACCAGGGGGAGCTGCGTCGGGTCGTGGTTGTCTCCGTTCCTCCGGGCGACGGTCTCGGGTGCCGCTGGCCGGGGAGTCACCCCGCCGGGTGGGCGTGGGGGGATCTGCACCCCGAGGGGAGGGGGGGGGAGGGAGAAGGGGGGGTGCGGGCGGTAAACCGCGTGGAGCCCCACCAGAAGCAGTAAGCGCGGCCGTTGAAGTCACGGAGGTTCATCGCGCGGCCTCGTTGGGCGGGAACGTGGCACTCGCCACGCAGCCCCCTCCCCCCCCTCCCCGTTGTGCCGCGCGAGTGTCACGCGCTGCCGCCACCGCCGCCGCCGCCGGCGATCGGCGCCACCGTGACGATCCGCTCTCGCACGGCGGCACAAACGGTTCCCGTGACGGCCCCTGTGACGGTGCGGTGTGACGGTGCGGTGTGACGGTGCGGTGTGACGGTGCGGTGTGACGGTGCGGTGTGACGGTGCGTTGTGACGGTGCGGTGTGACGGTGCGTTGTGACGGTGCGGTGTGACGGCCCCTGTGACGGTGCGGTGTGACGGTGCGGTGTGACGGTGCGGTGTGACGGTGCGGTGTGACGGTGCGGTGTGACGGTGCGGTGTGACGGTGCGGTGTGACGGTGCGGTGTGACGGTGCGGTGTGACGGTACGGTGTGACGGTGAGGTGTGACGGTGCGGTGTGACGGTGCGGTGTGACGGTGCGGTGTGACGGCCCCTGTGACGGTGCGGTGTGACGGTGCGGTGTGACGGTGCGGTGTGACGGTGCGGTGTGACGGCCCCTGTGATGGTGCGGTGCTCATCGGTGCAGCGCGGTGCTCTCCCGGTCGGGACGTTCTTTTGCCACTATTATAAAAGCAAGGTTTGGGACGCGTCCAACACTCCGGGAGTTATGTGTGTGTGCGCGCGTGTGTGTATGTGTGCTCGCACGCGCATGTTAGTGTGTGTGTGCTCACTAACAGCACTTTCCTCCAAAAAATCCATATTACAGGGTGTCTTTGTCTTGTGTGTGTGCGTGCGTGCGGGGAGTTGCAGGCGTGGAAGAGTGTGCCCAAGTTATCTTCTCGTGGGGAATCCGTCTCGAGAGCGGCCTCTAGTGGAGGCCCATCCCACCAGCAGCGCCATGAGCCAGCACATGTGGGGCCACGACTACCTATTCTCTGCGTGCGCGTGTGTGGAACCGTGCGTGATCGCGTGTGTGGAAGCGTGCGTGATCGCGTGTGTGGAAGCGTGCGTGTGTGGAAGCGTGCGTGTGCGTGTGTGGAACCGTGCGTGATCGCGTGTGTGGAACCGTGCGTGATCGCGTGTGTGGAAGCGTGCGTGTGCGTGTGTGGAACAGTGCGTGTGCGTGTGTGGAAGCGTGCGTGCGCGTGTGTGGAACAGTGCGTGTGCGTGTGTGGAACAGTGCGTGCGCGTGTGTGGAACAGTGCGTGTGCGTGTGTGGAACAGTGCGTGTGCGTGTGTGGAACAGTGCGTGTGCGTGTGTGGAAGCGTGCGTGTGCGTGTGTGGAACAGTGCGTGCGCGTGTGTGGAACAGTGCGTGTGCGTGTGTGGAACAGTGCGTGTGCGTGTGTGGAACAGTGCGTGTGCGTGTGTGGAACAGTGCGTGTGCGTGTGTGGAACAATCCGTGCGCGTGTGTGGAACAGTGCGTGTGCGTGTGTGGAACAGTGCGTGTGCGTGTGTGGAACAGTGCGTGTGCGTGTGTGGAACAGTGCGTGTGCGTGTGTGGAACAGTGCGTGCGCGTGTGTGGAAGCGTGCTGCTCACCTTGGGTGGGGCAGGCCGCGCCGGGCGGTAGTGCCAGACGGTGCGGCTCACCGAGTCGTCGACCTCCTCGTACACGTTGTCCGCACCTTCACAAAGACAAAGGTCCCCCGTGTGGCCCGCGCGGGCCGTCGGGGCAAGCGCCGTTAGGGAGCGGCACCCGCGTAGGTCGCCGCCGCACGCGAGCGGGGCGCTGCGGCCGGAAACGGCGCGCCCGACCGCCTTTGTCTCTCCAGTGTGATGTTTACACACCGCACCGGGTACTCATTTAAGGCCACGTCGACCTAGAGATGGTCCGGGACCGGTGTAGATATGCGTTAGGCTCACGTTGGTGGCCGTGAGCGGCCACGCACGCGGCGTCGCTGGTGAGCGTGCTGCTCGCTGGTGCTTGTGCACCGCTGCCAACGCAGCCGCGGCATAACTAAGTAATTCGTGCCGGTTTATATGCGGCTTGTTGCCGTATCTAGTCCTTGCGTTATTGCTTTTTCATAGGGTGCTGCGGTGGCAAGATGTTTACTACATCGCCTGGTATGCAGGAGGTAGTGGGTTCGATCCCGAGCCTGACGCCTGTTGCTGTATATTTGCAATTTGCTTTTCTCTTCCTGTAATAGTGTGGATGTTTTTCCGGGTCCTCCAGTTTTTCTCTCTACATGGACAACCAAATATCCGTTCCGAGTATTTGGCTGCTATAAATGTCCACGTCGTTGAACTGTCATTTGTGCTCGCCAGGTCGCTTCAAGTTTTAAATCGCCAGAGACTCGACGGGGGCAATACTCACGAGCCAGCGACTGGTAGATGGTCTCCTGGGACACGCTGCGACGCAGCCCGCCCGTGCCTCTGGCCTTGCCCGCTTGCACGCAGCAGCCTCCCGCGCCGCTGCCACTGCTGCTGCCGATGCTGCCGTTGCCGTGTGAGACGCCGTTGCCCGCGGCGACGGCGGAGACGTCTTCATACTCCAGCGACTTCTGCAGGCAGCGCGGCCTTGCGTGGGGGGACAGCAGCAGTAGCGGCAGGGGTGGAGTCAGCAGGTTCAATCCACCGCCGGATGAGAGCATCCCTCCCCCAAGGGCAGTGTTTGCTGTAACCACCACAGCACTCGCTCCACCGCGAAACAAAAAACACGATCACGAAACACGCGCCCCGAGCCCCACCACGCCCATCCCAGCCACGGCTGCCCTCCACCCCTCGCTCTCTCGCGCTGCCCTCCCACGCGCCGCCCTCACCTCCGCGTGGGGCTGCCCGCGGCCTCCCTGAAGGCCGCCTTGCGGCTCACGGCGGCCGGCGGAGGGCACAGGGGGAGGGGCGGCGGCCTCCTCGGCCTCGCGACGTACGTCGCCGCGGCGACCGCGCCGGGCCGCGGGGTAGGGAGGCCCGCTGGCCTCCCCGCGCCCACCGCGAGCAGCGGGCTGGCATAGGGGCCCCGCCCGCCGGGCCGCGCCGGCCGGGCCGGCGTGTTGTAAGCGTTGCGGGCCTCCTCCTCCGCCCCCTCCCGCTCCGCCGCCCCCTCCCTCGCGGCCGAGGGAGGGGGCGGCCCGAGTGCCCGCTCCGTCCCGCCCGGCCCGTCCGGCTGGCACGGCCCGCCGGACCGGCACTGGTCGAGCGAGCCGCCCTTATTCTCTCTCGCCGGCCGCCGCAGGTGCTGCGGCTGACGATCTTTCTCCTCGAACTGCCTCACCCGTGCCAGAACGGGCGGCGGTGCCCCCCGCCGCTGCGGTGCCCGCTCGCGCCCGAGGCTGGCTGCGGCGGCGGCGGCGGTAAAGGTTACCGGCGGCTGCCTGCGCAGACGCGCCGGCCGCGGCGTGGCCTGCGGCTCGCGGTCGTGGTGGTGTTGGTGGCGGAGGCGGTCGAGGCTGGCGCCGCCCGCTCCGTCTCCGCGAGCACCGCCAAGTTCACCGGCTCTCGCCGGCACCGCCGCCGCTCGCTGATCCGGAGGAGTCTGGGAGCGAGCGCCGCTGGCGAGGACGCCGCCGCCACCGCCGCCGGCCGCCTCCTTGGGGAGGTTGCGCCGGCACGGCGAGCGGTCTCGCCGCGCCACGGAGCGCTCCGCTCTCGCCGGCGCAGCGCTCTCCGCTCTCGCCGGCGCAGCGCTCGCCGGGTCGGGGAGATTGAGCGTGGATGCAGCCGACCCCTTGCCCTCCCACTCGCAGATCCTGCGCTTGATGCACATGGAGGAGGAGGCGGCGGCGGTGGCACCTGCGGCCCCTCCTCCTGCGGCGCCAGCGGCACCTCCGCCACCGCCGCTGTCGTCGTTCCCGCGAGGGGCCGCGAACTCGGCCATGCCGCCCGCTACCGCCGGGGGGGCGACCCCATCGCTGGCGCGGCTGAGGCGGTGGGGGCGGCGGTGGAGGCGGCGGGGGCGGCGGTGGAGGTTCGATCGGCCTGCACGCCCTGCAAGAGATGGTGACAAACACACGGCGGAGAGGGGGACTGTGCGCGTTGGATGCCGTCACGTCACGTGCACGGACGCGCGTACGCGCCGTATCCACGAGCGGGAATCGAACTCGGGACGCCGGGTTTGTAGCTTAGTGCGCTAACCGCTGCACCGTCGCTCCGCCCGACTGACACGCATGCACACACTCACACATACACACTCTGACACACATACCCACACATGCACTGACACACACATACATAAACACACACTCACATGCACACACTCACACATACACGGGAGCTGCCACCCAACCACAAACGCGGGCAAGTTGTTCACGTTGGCGACACTGCAGCGGTTGGCAGTGCCACTCACCTGACCACCGTGGCACGCCTCAGCAGGCCGAGTCGACCTCGGGGCGGCGTGCGAGTGTGCGAGTGTGTGTGAGTGTGTGAGTGTGCGACTGTGCGAGTGTGTGAGTGTGTGTGAGTGTGTGAGTGTGCGAGTGTGAGAGTGTGTGAGTGTGTGAGTGTGCGCGAGTGAGTGTGCAAGTGTGTGTGTCAGTGTGTGTCAGTGTGTGTGTGTGTGTGCGTGTGCAAGTGTGTGTGTGCGAGTGTGTGTGTGTCAGTGTGTGAGTGTGTGTGAGTGTGTGAGTGTGCGAGTGTAAATACCTCACAGCATCTTTTTTATTATTATTCTGAAACAGGAACTTAGATGTGTGGCGGAGATAGCGGGGTGCTGTCACCACCGGCTTGACCAACCTTCCCGACTGACCGTGAGGCCAGCGAGTTCAGGGCCTGCCGCGGGAACGTGGCATTCCCACCACCGAACCGGGACCGCCGGTTACAAGTGTGAGCGGCGGCACCCTCCGCTCGCTCGCGTCCAAATGAGCGAGAGGCACGGCGGTGGTCGCGGTGTGCCGGGTGTCTTGGGGAGAGGCGGCCGATAATAATCTCCTGCTGAGAATCAATTCCAAACTCAGTGTTTTTGTTTAAACGCGAAATTCTGCAAATTCTGCATTCCACCCAGATTCCTCTCTCGTGGCACCGCGACATCACCGTGACGTCACCGTGACGTCACCATGACGTCACCGTGACATCACCGTGACATTACACTGACATCACCGTGACATCACAACGACATCACCGTGACATTACACTGACATCACCGTGACATCACAACGACATCACCGTGACCTCACCGCCCGTCGCTCCGCATGCATCCTCCTCATAAACAAATCACATCGTCGGCACCAGCGCTGTCAATCTCACGGTGCAGGGACAGCGCCAAGGAGGGCGCCAGCTCTGTCTCAATGCGGCATCGGCGCCGCGCTCTCTCTCCCCTTGCTCTGCCGCTCTCTCCTTCTGCCAACACGGAGTGCAGCTTGGCGGAGAGCCACCAAGTGGATTGGATCCGACTCGGACACTCGCCGGCGCTGCTCCCTCCCGGATCGTCCTTCCCGCTCACCGCACGCGAGGGACGTCGGCGTCCAGCGCAAACCGGCGGTGAGCATCGTGGTGACTACAACCAACCCCGCCGCACCGGACCCCCCCCCCTCCGGACCCCCCCCCAAACCCCCCCCCCCCGGACCCCGCACCCCAAATGGACACGGCCAGCAGCACGAGAGAGCGATGGTGGAACGGCAACGTCGGTCCCACCTCCAAAGACAAAGATCCCCCGTGTAGCCTCAACAGACTGTTGGGGTAGGAGCTGTTAGCGAGCACCTACGAAGGCCGGCACGGCGCACGAGAGGGTGAGTGGCCAGCACCACGCCCGGCAGCATTTGTCTCCCCGGTGGCGATGTTCACACCACACCAGGTGCTCGTTTGAGGCTGAGTTGACCTATGGGAAGCCCAGAACCAGTTCAGATATTCGTCCCAGGTGTCGATGTCTGTAGTCGGCTCACTGGGTTTGTTGGGTCACTGGGTTCATAGCGAAGCACACTCAGCACTGCGCCACCGCTCCCCACTACAACTGCTGCCACCACCACCACCGGCACTACCGCCACCGCCACTGGCACCAATTCTGCCACCATAACCACCACCACCTCCACCGGGAGGCTCGCTGCCCCCGCGAGCACGGCGGGGAGCTCCCACACCCAGGGGAAGGAGAGAGAGAGAGTGGTGGGGAGAGTGGTGGGGAGAGTGGGCAGTGGGGAGAGAGCGGTGGGGAGAGCGGTGGGGAGAGCGGTGAGGAGAGTGGTGGGGAGAGAGTGGTTGGAAGAGTGGGGAATGAGGAAAGTGGGGGGTGAGGAGAGTGGGGGGTGAGGAGAGTGGGGGGTGAGGAGAGTGGGCGGTGGGGAGAGTGGGGGGTGAGGAGAGTGGGCGGTGGGGAGAGTGTTGGAGAGTGGTGAGGAGAGTGGTGGGGAGAGTGGTGGGGAGAGTGGTGGGGAGAGTGGGCAGTGGGGAGAGTGGTGGGGAAAGTGGTGAGGAGAGTAGTGGGGAGGGCTGTCCCCTCCCTCATCACTTCCCCTTATCGGAGTCGATTGCACAAATTACCACAGCCCCCTTACACAGCCCCACGACATCACAGAGTGGGGATCCATACAGTGGTGTCTCATCGCAATCGCACCTCAAGACGCTGCACAGTTCTAAATTTGAAGCTTTCGTGACTGCAAGGATTCATACCCTTCGGTTTTTTCGGTATCACCTGATACAGCAATTTTGCTGTGACGGTTTCACCTGAAAACGGAAGCTTGTGTTGCCTCCGACACGTCGTGATTTAATTTATTTGTTTTCTTTTTTAACCTACCTGATTTTACCCAAAAAACCAAAGGGTACGCCGCACAATCTATGGGTCTCCGTGTGAGTCTATGGGTCTCCGTGAGTCTATGGGTCTCCGTGTGAGTCTATGGATCTCCGTGTGAGTCTATGGGTCTCCGTGTGAGTCTGTGGGTCTCCGTGTGAGTCTATGGGTCTCCGTGTGAGTCTATGGGTCTCCGTGTGAGTCTAGGGGTCTCCTATGAATCTTCAACCCCAACCCATGTTAAACTACAGCACCCCCCACACCTCCTGTGCCCTTCGGCTGTCACCGCTTCCCAGGAGGCTAAGAGAGTCATCCCGCCGCACGCCAATTCACATCGAAGCCGATGAAGCAACGATGGTGACGGTGAATGACTGATGGTGATGATGATGACGATTGGTTGATGGTGAATCTGATGATCATTGGCAGGTGACGGAAAGACGATCGATAGACATTGGTGACCGGCTGCTGATGACGATGGAGGAAATTCACGAATGGATGGTGACGATGACGATGCTTCTGCCGCACGTGTGGCGTGATACTCTGGACGGCCTTGCGAACGAGATGTTCCGCCTCAAGAAAACTTCCAGACAAAGCGTTTAAACGAGCGAAACATCGATCAAATAAATAAATAAAAACTTCGCTTGACTTTACGGGAACGTGAGGGGGGGGGGGGCAGGAAACTCAGCGTCCAACGCGGGGATCGGGAGGCCGCACGCGGATGGGGAAGCTGCGGTGAGGTCACCACCACTCGAGGTGCTGCACCCCACGAGCGCGGCCGTACCACGCGGACAGGTTACGGGCCAGGTCACGGGCCAGGTCACGGGCCAGGTCACGGGTCAGGTCACGGGCCAGGTCACGGGCCAGGTCACGGGCCAGGTCACGGGCCACCACCGCCCCCACCACCCTCCCCCCGCCCTCAACGGGTGGCCTGGCAGTGGTGGTGCACGAGCAGTCAACGACAACAACAACAGCAGCATCACTCGGCACATCCGTCAACAACAACACCGCGTGTGAGGCCTTAAAAAGAGTGATATATACTGTGATAGGAGACGTTTCAGGCAAAGTCCCTTCTTCATGGCAAATAGAGAGGCCACTAGAGAGAGACAGAGTGCATGGTAAGAGCGGGAGACTATACTTGTTTACTCCATTTTTTAGAACCAGATTTCAAGTACATTTTACGAGACTTATCGGTTGCACGGCCTTCTGGGAGTGCATCTCATCAGCAGTATCGGTGCAATTGAAGCAAGCGCCTGGAGCGGTTTCCAAGCAGTGATGCTTCCCTGCTAGACACGGGCGCTTGTTTACCGCATCGCTAATTAACGATGCAGCGAACGTGGCAAAACAGGAAGCGCGCAGTCAACTTGCGGCGAAGAATTGAGACCGAAAACCTCTACTCCATGGGATGAATGATAGGGAGGGGAGGGGAGGTGAGGGAGGGAGCCGAGTCACGGGATCTCGTTTGGAAAAATAAATCCAGACTTCTCTCAACGGAAACGGCGGCGTCCGTGCCAAAAGCCATAAAAGTCCACCGCGGGGGCGGAGGGGATGGGTTCGCCGTCATCGATGGAATTCGATTGAATCCACGGCCGATGGCCACCGACGGAGAGCCGCCGCTAACCGTCGACGGCCGTCGAACGCTGCCACAGTGGTGTGCGGGTCCAGGGGTCGCGGGGTCAATTCCTATCTCCTGGCGTGGCAGACGAAACGATGGGGGGGGGGGGGGGGGGGAGTTTCTCAAATGCCTCGATTCCCCTGCCCCCTCCCCCTGCTTTCCCCCCCCCCAGCTTCTCTCCGCCCAGTGGCGCAACAGGGTCCACCACGGCCAAGTGAGTCGGGCAGGCGGTGCGCGTGGTGGGTGGGCTAAAGTGGGGGTTGCTCTCGACTCTTCCAAGCCGTCCTGGCCAGTGTGGACGAAGAGCGGCCCGAGGGCTTATGCGGAGCGGCGGCCGCGAGGCCACGGGAGGCGGCCCCTCGGAGCGGCCCTCGCAGAGGTCGCTACAACGGAAAGGGGATCTTCGCGCGATCGGGGCTTGGTGTCCCAGGGAATTGAGGTGTCCGCTAGCGATCGGTCCGCGGCTACCGACAAGGGAGCTACAGAAGCGGTGTCTCGCGGAGGCCCCCGTCCGACAGCGGCGGCGGCGGCTCGGGCGAACGATTGCGGGGCTGCACCTTTGCCTCGGTCGCGATCGCCAGCAATCTTGACGCCCCGGTGGTGGTGGCGGCGGTGGTGGTGGCGGTGGCGGTGGTGGTGGTGGCGGTGGTGGCAGTGGCG